TGAATTTCTCCGAAGTTTATGCATGCACTAGTTTTATTCATACATACACAATTACACACAAATACACACTAATTTTCGGATACATCTCTTTTCTTCTAAAGTCTATGGATTAAAAAAAGTTCCGCCAGGACAACGTTCGCCCAGCGGAATCAGTTTTTGGTGAATTTCTCCACAATGGTTGCGTGCACAAATTTTTTTTTACCATGCACAATTATACGACGTCATACACTAAATATCTGCATAATTAAAATCTTTAAAATCAACAATTCATTTCCCCGAGGACGCGGCGGTGCTTGCTCCACCGTATCTTCAGGGTGGTCTTCACAATGACGACAGTCGGGCGTTTCCTCCCGCCGGATCCGTAACAGGAACCTATCGAAGCTGTCGTGCCCGGCAAGCACCTGCGTCAGGTGAAGGTGAGGATGTGGTGGCGTCTCTCAAGCCACTCCTCAAAGAGGGGTGTGTGGGGGCTCCGCCGGAGCTCATTCCGCCATGCACTAAATTGGCGCATCATTGGAGTTTCGCCGAGGTGACGCGCAAACAATGTAGGTACGTAGGTAGACGCGCGGAGGCCTTCGCCTCTAAATCCCATGATGGTGTTCCGGCAAGGAGGTTCACCGCCTCCCCGGAGATCATGCAGTAGTATCGAATTATGCAAATGGTCATGACTCTCTCGGATGCGAACAGCGCACGAGCTGGCCGTCTCAACCCGCACAGGGGACCATAGAGGGCCATGGATCGCACGATCCTCATATTCAACCTATGGCAGGAAGCGTATAGCCCCGTGATAATGCATTTAGTTAGTTTTAATATGAAACATCGGTACTTTATAAATATTTACTCTTAACTGTAAATTGTATAACAAGAGAATGGACTTGAAGTCTGTGGAGAGCACACAGGTCAGTTAAAGCGTTACCAAAGAGGCTGTAAAAATCTGCGGGACAATAGATCCCCAATACTTGCCGGATACAAGCTATGAAAGTCTTTTAAATATACATACTTAAGATATAGATTTTTTTTATGTAATAGGTCGGCAAACGAGCAGACGGATTACCTGATGGTAAGCAATCAGCGCCGCCCATGGACACTCGCAACGGAGGAGTTACGAGTGCGTTGCCGACCTTTAAGGGATTAGGGATTTGGAGATTTAGGGATTGGGGAAGGGGAAGGATTGGGCCTCCGGTAACCTCACTCACACGGCGAAACACAACGCAGTGGTTATTTCACGCCGGTTTTCTGTGAGGCCGTGGTATCACTCCTTATAAGGTATACTTAATGTCAATGATTATAAGGTATACTTAATGTTAATGATTATATTGTAAGGAATACAAGACATTCTTATGAGTTTAAGTTATATCCGATATATTTGGACCAAAATGCATTTAATAATTGCTTAGAATACAATGTATATAATTTGGGGACAATTTCAGATAATACTAACATACTGAGAAATGTTGAAAAATAGGATTTTTTAGTAATCCTTTGACCGATCGAAACGAAACCTAATCCCCTTTCGCAACAATCAGGTTTTGCTACTGTTCACTAGACAAAATCAAGGTATTTTGAAGAAAAACTAAAAATTTCAATCCTCTCTTTACCCAACCCTTACGATAAACAAACCAGATATACATCTTCATAACTATTCTATACATATAACGCTGTCTGGTATTGATTTTCTAGGCATATACTTGCGCACATAGGTAGGCAGTCAAATCCCTCTTAAAGGATACGAGACGACTTCTCCATTTATATTAATGAGAAACTAATTTAAATAAGAAAATTGCCAGAATTTACACATTCTTTATAATTTTCCTTTGACAAGTCCATTAAGTTATCTAGTTTATAAGAATAAAATTTTATTATTGAATATTATCTCTTCTATCGGCTAAAATCGGGTCGTACTATTGGCAATGTTGCGAAAATCAAAAAAAGTCGGAGAGCGTAAAGGACACTAGATTTTTGAAAACACACGAAATATTAAACATGCGAGCTTTATACTAGTTATTGTCCGCGGTTTCCCTTGTTCATACAATAGTTTTTGTAACTCGTAATTATGTTTATCTATTCAACTCATGAGCAATAGGAGTAATAATCAATAATAATTTGAGTGTGGGAGAGCCATGCTTCGGCACGAATGGGTCGGCTTGACCGGAGCGATGCCACGACCTCACAGAAAACCGGCATGACAACCACAGCTTTGTATTTTGCCGTGTGAGTGAGGTTAACGGAAACAAAATCCTTCCCATTCCCCGATCCCTCGCCAGTCCCTAAATCTCCAAATCCCTAAAAGGCATTAGGGATTTTAAACAACGCCAACGGCAACGCACTCGTAACTCCTCCTTTGCGGGTGTCCATGGGCGGCGCTGACTGCTTACCGACCTATTTATTACCTACATAAAAAAAGAATCAAATTTACATAAATAAAAATCATAGCATCATAACATTAGACCTCCATACTCCTGAAGAGGTAAGCAAAGGACACAAGATATGTAAAACATAACATGTCCTTTTCTCTAATTTCAGTTCATTTCATTTTCTATAAGGCAGTGAACCTATCACCATTCGCCACACTTGCACTATCCCGGTGCGAATACTAAGCCCAATAACCACCACGTCTATCGCAGTGATTGGGCAACCGGTTGCTGCGTAACGTGTCGTGTCTTTTCCCGCATAGCAACAATTGGTATGTCGGAAGCTTTAGGCATCAATGTCACTGACATGAAGCAGTCGCTGAAGGAGCGTTTCTTTGGCCGCCTGAAGAAGGTATTTAATAGCTTTCTTTCAGGCGGAAAAAAAGTGCGCGCCTTCAACGGTTGGGTCATGCCGGTATTGATGTACTCTTTCGGCGTACTCAAATGGTCTCAAACTGAACTGGACGCCCTGGATAGGCAGGTCCGAACAATGCTGACTGTATACCGAATGTATCACACGCGGTCGTCGGTGATGAGACACACACACGTTTTAAACTCACACACGACAGATGAAATAATGTTAACCTTAAGGCTTTTAAAAACATAAACCCGAGGCTCCTTTCTCAACGCTATTACGACTATCATACTTAGTATTAATAATAGTTAACTAATTTAATTGCAACCGATTTTCACTAACCGGAGTCTTGGGTTCATTTCTAAAGTGCATTTAAGTGGATAAAAGCAGCTTTGGTGGTGGTGCTAGCGTACATACACATTTTTTAAGGCTAGATGATGTTGTCTAAAGAAACTGTGTCCGGTACGCCGCGTTCCAACTGACCAGTTCTGTGATTTCTTCATTGGTAAAGATAGAATACAATCAATAATAGTTTCAATCAATGCTTTATACTTTATTTGTTTCACACACAAAACTACAAATAAATAATATAAACGTGTTAAGTGTGAGTGAGTTATGCTTGGCCACGATTGGTCGGGCTCGACCTCAGTCATACCACGGCTAGAAAACCGGCGTGAAACAGCTACAGCATGTGTTTCGTCGTGTCGAGTTTGAGGTTTTCGGAGGCCCAACCCTGCCTAATGCTTAAAATCCTAAAAACTTTTATACCCAAAAACTCTCCTAGAGTTGCGAGTCTCCGTGGGCGGCGCCAATTGCTTGGCAACCATCAGTTAATCCGTCTGCTTCTTTGTCATTGTATCGCATAAAAAGAAAATATTTTCTCTGACGCTCAATCTATTTTACCATACATATATATTATATTAATATTATAAAGCTGTAGAGTTTGTTTGTTTGAACGTGCTAATGTCCGTAACTACTGGTTCGAATTGAACAATCCTTTTTTTATTCATTGGTCCATTTATCGAGGAAGGCTATAGGCTAACTAAAAAGTTAAAGGCTATAAAACACATCACGCTACGATATGTAGGAGCCGAGCAGCGAGTGACACCGTGAGACTAGTATTAACTAGTAAATAATATAATAAAAAAGTAAGTGGGCGAGATATCCAGCTTATTATTAGTTTGTAATAGATATGGTTTAATACCCGAATTTCTGAGTAAATGTTTATCTAGTGAAGTAAAATATTATGAGTTGTTTATTTAGCCGAAAAGGACATGTACCTATGTGGTTTATCGCAGTACGAGTAAATTGATATGTATTGCTTGAGGCTATACAGGCCGTTATTAGACAAAGTAGGCGTAATTAATAATATAAGAACAAAATTCCTCCGTGCCTTCGGGGGTAAACATACGCGATATTAATTATCCACATTATATTTTTGTCCAATTAGGTTGGATATGCCCTGAAGGTACAGGATTAGATGTCAAATCACGTCATAGAAAGGGGCTTGTTTATATCTATCAGCAGAAATGGATAATGATACGATACCTAAATAGCATACTCATAACAAATATGGTTTTTATAACCCAATTAAAATGGCGACGACCAGTAGGTGTGCTGGGCACCCAGCATGGTGTTTCTACACCGCTGATGGTTTCATTGGTTTTCCTTGCAGATTTATACTACGGTAGGTACTACAAGCTACAAGTCCAAAAAGGGAGTAAGATTAGAATAAATTTCTTTACATCCTTTACACCTAGAGACTCGAAACATCACATATGCATTACAAAAATTACTCCGAGTGAGATTCAACTCCGCGACATACTTTGTGCCCCGTCTGTGGTTAGGTCAATCGCCGTCCGCAGATCCGTGCTTTCGAAAGCCGGAGTTCATCGCTCGATCCCCAACGCCCGGAGTTTGCCTACTGCGGCGGCTAGGTCCTGAGCAGGAGGTTAGCGGAGAGGAGACGACTTCCCAGTACCTCTTACTCCGCACCATGGCTTCGACTTAGGCCGAGCGCGAAATATCGCCTGTACCGATCACTTTACTAAGAACATGGCGGTGCTCATCCCAAGCAAAGAAGAGAAGTCTTATCGCTACTATAATAACGTGCCCGACGTCGATACTGGCTTGTTCTGCGTTCCACTTTACAATATCCGAGATATGTATATTTAGTTTTTTTTTATGTAATGGATCGGCAAACGAGCACAAGGATTACCTGATGGTAAACAAGCATGACAAACAAATTTTGTTGGGTTGGGAGTCGGGATGAAGCGCCGTATGTTTTCGTCCTGAAATGCACTTGCGCAGTTGAAAGTCCTGCATCCAGGGGCTTGGCGCAGTGCGGCGGTACCGCAGAGTCGCCGAAGCTACCCGACAGGACTGACGTAACGCACGAGAGAAAAACGTATATTTGTGGCAATGGAGGGTGGATGACATTGGCTTTAGTCCTCTTTGGCTCCCTACTGCTGTTGGATAGCAGTGGGGAGCCTTTATCGCCGGGTGAGTAGCTCTTCTAATTTCTTAAGCCGTATTTTTGTGTGATTTTTTTATAGTTCTCCAGTTCCTGAGGGTCGCACCGCGTTATCACAAACAAATTTCTATTTTAAAATGCGTGCGGAGGCAGTTTTCTAATTTATTTTTAGCTGGATTGCGAAGTATGCTGGCGCATTCTGTATAGACTACACAAAGATGGGCGTGGTCACTGCGGTTGGAGTCGAGGCAGTTGGTTTTAAAGATTAGGTGTTTTTATTTCAGCAGTTTTACAAGATCCAGAAGCGCGATGGCAGTTGATCTCGGAATTACTTACCCCAATTTTGTCAACAATTTTCTTACCAGTCGGAGAATTGATAGCGTTGGCGGTGGGCGTTGCCGTCTGCTGATGCTGGCTAGCAAGACGGCTATTTCCCTTATAAATTAACTGCTGTCTTCTTCTTTCTAAGTACATCGTGGACACCAAACAAGCAATTAACAATCAAATTATTAAATTTTTACTAACATATGTCTTTCTATTCACAGGAACTGAGAAATATGGCGAAAAACCAGATGAAAAGGCGACGAAGGGGGCTTTACTAGTGTAAATGCAAGCACCCCTTCATGATCCATGTACCGACCCCTCAATCTAATAGCCGGGACACACTCATCAAGAACAGCTGAGATACGTGGATCTAAAACAACAATCATAATCTTCTTTGAGGCTGGACTCACAGCTTTTTCTGTAGTATGCAACGGTACACATTGAAAAGATGTGTATACGAATTATTGATGTAGTACTCTGTCTCCTATCTAAGCTATTATTGTTCATGCAATAAATAGCACTTCAATGGAATTGTTGTTTTATTTAAAAAAATACAATACCCTATATGCATATTCACTTATATTCACACTTACACAATCATACTTATACAATCACACACATGCGGATATATTCATGAAAAAACACAAACACATGTAAAAACACACACCTCTACCTCCACACAATAATTACCAGCTTATACGCTCAAATACAATAAAACGCGTAGCAAACATACCTACACATACACATACAAGTAAAAATACACTAACAATTACTCACTCACTCAACAACGTCACACACACACGCACACGCAAACACACATGCACATATACATACAGACACACACACACACACACAACTGCGATACACGATTATATATACACCCACATTCACATAATATATGTATATGCACACACCTTCAAACATTCCATGCACACATTATTTTTTCAACAATTACATGCTCTGTATATAAACATCTGTAGGGGAAAATATAACATAGACATGGCAAATAGTACACGTCATACCTTCCCACCAGTATATACCTACTCTACATAGTGATATATCCATCACACACATACAGACTAAGGTATATGAGGAATTAATTATAACATAAATGTATACAGATGCGTAATAAACAATCTCACACATGTAGGTACTATCGCAAGCGCTCATACGCATTCACTGACAATCACTCATACACACACGCGCCCATAAACATATAACACGCCCCTACACGTTTACACCTAAACACACACAAACATAAGGCTTAAAACCTAAAAGAGCAAAGTGTGGGAGTGCCATGCTTTTGTCAGGTTGTGTTGCGTGTTGTCAAAGGCGTGAAACAAGGCATTTCCGTCGTGACATCACAACCTGTGCCAGTGCTCTTTTTGTGTGGGGAAAATGATCTAATAACTTTTTTTTTTCTTTTCCTTTTTTTTTTTTTAACGTTGCCCCACACTAGGATTTTCACCTGTGTCGTGGGTGCGTTTACAAACATACAAATTCACATACACATCACACCCAGACCCGGAACAACAATTTGTGGATCACACAAAGAGTTGTTCCGTGCGGGTATCGAACCCGCGACACGTTGCACGGCAGCCAGTTGCCCAGCCACCGCGCCAACCGTGCAGTCAACGTCCCTCGCCCAGAGTGAGGCGAGAGGGAGTGTCAGACTCTTACTGACTAAAACGCCCCCGTTCCTTCTCCTGTTTAAGGTCGAAGTCGCGGTACCTTGGCAGTTTCCAACCTCCCCGCAACACTGAAAACTGAAAAAAAGATCGTTTAAAAAAATTTGCCGCCTCATCCACAGTTTCAAATAGATACGATATCGAAAATCGCATGACCTTAAACGACTTTAAAGTCTATTTTGCTTCCCCATACTTAGTACCCCATACAAGTGTCAATTGTACAGAAGATTTGAAATTCATGACACCTTTCAAGTCGTTTGTCAGTGTCACCGAGGAAAGATACTGCGTGACAGTGACAGCGCTTTATTTATGTCTCACTAGCGCCAAGGGGTTAACGGAAATTGACTACAGATGTCGTATAAAATAAACTTCACAATCGGTAATGTTTAAATACGTCGATATCGATTAATTTCAACATTTATTAAAATTAAAATGCTTTAAATCTAAGGCTCCCACTTATAAAAATTTTAATAGGTCAACAGTACTATTATCTCGATTAAAATTGCAAATATGGATCGATCACCCCATCTCTAAAATCGAGTACTTATACGCTTTAATTCACAATTCAAGCTGATGGAAAGTTTTGCCACCTGTAGCGCTGCTCTACCTATCCGTGCCTAGGACACCACAATTGGTAGCGTTTTATAAGACTTAGCGCACACTGAGTTATAAACCAACAAAATTGCCAGCCCGATTTTGTCAATTTCACAAAAAATCTAAGTCTCATCATTTATTTCAACACTTCCTTCCTTCCTTCTACTGCTCTGGACCAAGCCCGCTGTTACTCATTGCGTTTAACCCGCAACCCCAGGTCTTACAACACCTGCGTGTAGTGTAGATTATAAATAATAGTGCTAAAGACAAATTTAATCTATCCAGTCGTCGCCTCATGCCTAAAATCATATATATATAGGTTACTGAAACATATCTAAATATTATGTTCGATGTACCTACTAAACTTGAACTGGGGTTCTGTATGACAAAAGCCCGCCCAAACTTCGCCCGGTTGCAATTTTCCGATGATGTTTCTTCAAATATTTCACAATATCACGTGGTACGTTATAATTTGTATAAGATATATGAAAGGCGGCAATAATTTGGATTTCGAAAAAGTCCAAGATATATTTCTGTCCTTGTCATTTTGGGTGTGACGTCATTGACATGTCTTTTACTTTGTTCTAAAAGCGGCAATAATTGAATTTAGAATATGTAGACGATATATTTCTGTCCTTGTCATTTTGGGTGTGACGTCATTGACGTGTCATTTGTTTTTATTTTGCTGGCACGGCGAACAGTTCAATAAGAACATAATACCTAGTTTCATAATACAAAGGCTTATAGAACAGTTTGTAAGGGAAAAGCAAATTGTGGATTTTAGTCAGTTCTTTGAAAATTTAATTAGGAAGTAGGCAGACAATACATACAAAGAAATACCGAAAACTACTTAATTTATTACGTTTTCAATGTCCTATTTTTATGTTAGAGGCCGGCAAACGAGCATTCGCATTACTTATGGTAAGATTGCTTACCATGAGTAATGCGAAACGCCGCCTAAAGACCCTCGTTGCCGGCCTCTTGTAGGTAGGATTTACGTATGGGGATGATTTAAGAATAAGAGAATAGAATAGAGGATGGGAGGTAGTATTGAGCTTTCGGTAACCTCACGCACACGGCGAAACACAACGTAATTAGCTATTGCCTCATGCCTGTTTTCTGTGAGGCCGTGGTATTGGTTCGGTCGAGCTCGCCCATTCGTGCCGAAGCAAAGCTCTCCCACACTTAAACCACCTATACCTACTAATAATACCTTCAATAATATATAATAATAAATAATAACTTCAATACAATAAATAGGTAGATACTTCAATCATAATAGATAGTTCTATTCTAATGCAGCTCAATTGAAATGTATTATGAGTGGCATATTAGGTACCCCCTACAACTGCCTCGATCAGTTGGTTATGTATCAGCCAACTAGCTTAATAAGCTATTTAACGGCCTACGGGCCTAGCCTGGTTAATAAAGAGGTCGCAGTTCTGTTTTTTTTTGGTGAGGGTAGATTCATTAAATGTCTTCACTTGCCCTCGGTAAGCGTGAGGGAGTGTCAGACTCTTATTGACTAAGTAAAAACAATCCCGTTCCTTTTCGGGACCGTCTTCTCGACTTCTGCGGGCCGTGACTGCGGACCTTATTGCTCTTGACCAACAACCCCGACTGAATATCAGGTCTCTTGGGCCGATTTGAGTTGGTCTATTGGATACTTGAGGCGCGCGCGAAAGGATACGCGTGGCAAGCTCGGGTCTGGTTCTGGTCGGGTGGCGAGCTACTATTGCTCGCCCACCACAGACATGCGCTAACGATGGCAGTTCTTTATTTTACGGGTGTAATCCTCATGGACTTGATTGAATGACAATCCCTTTACAGTTTACCTAACAGCCTGATCGAGAAATTTGGTTTTTCGTCTTATGGTTCATAAAACTGGTTGGCTGCGACGGACGGCATGGCCGTTTAGATAACAAGAGAGACATAATGAGCGAGAAAGAACGAGAAAGAGGATGGGTAGATTTCTTTTTTAGGCCAAAATTATCATATTTCTTCACCAGCGCTGGGTGGGCCGAGAGAGTGCCAGAATCTGCCAGACTTGCGATATTCATTACACACACACAAAGTAGATACTAACACCTACACATTACTGTTTGAGCCCCTACCTAATTAGCCACAGCCGCCTGAGGCGTTGCTAGGAGAGGAAAACAAGAATGATATGATATGGCCAGATATCTAAACAAATAAGGTTAGGTAAGTATTTATTTACAGACGCAAAGCTAAGAAAACGACCTCATTATTTTCCTATAATATCTTAAGGCTTTTCAGGCGCGTCTTTTGTCAATTTAGATGTGCCTTTTCTTATATAATATACCTAAAAATTAAACTACATATGCGACTTACTCGGATAAAGGTAGAACAAAATTTGGCAATAAGGTACCTCCAGTTTTTTTTTTTGGGTAGGTAAGCCATCTAATTACTTCACCCGCCCTGAGCAAGGCGAATCAGAGATTTTGATAACCCTACACTCCCCCTAGGGTTAATCTGCGATTTTAGTATAAGTAATGACGAATATATAAGTACCTACAAAATGCTACTTAGCATTTATTTTTAGTTCAGAATCCATAAGCTACCTGTCAAACACGCTAACACACACTTTTCTTCGTAAAGAAAGAGGCCGAGCAAGTGAGGGCACTTTCCTCCTCTTGCTGCAGCCACCGCAGTAGGCGACACTGGTTCGGGGATCGTCGGACGAACACGAACGGGTCCACGACCAGACGCTCGGGTACGATACATAGCGCTCCGCGCGCGCCTCTAACACCTATTAGACCAGCACAGATGTGGCCCAACAGGGCTGATGTTCAGACCAATTGCGGGGCAAACGCAAAAAGGTAGACCTGGACTGGGAGAAGGAACGGGGTAGTTTTAATCAGTAACAGTCTAACAATCCCTGAGATCAGGATGAGAGGGTGACGTTATTCCAATCTCAAAAAAAAAGATCTTATTCTATTGATTTTTAAGGAGTTCCCTGGAATATGTTCCACATTTGTTATTGGACTGTGACCAAATTTATATGGGACCAGAATTGGCACTACTGTTTCGAATGCAAAAATAATTTTTCGAACTATAAATGTAGAATGTAGATACCTATGCGATAAGATGCACAAAAAATACAGTCGAATTGACCTACTCGCCCCTACAATCTTCGAAAGTTCCCCTCGGTTTCTCCAGGATTCCATCATCAGATCCTGACCTCATGACAATGGGACCAAATGGCAAGTATACCCTATCGAATAAAAAAAGAATTTTGCAAATCGGTCCAGGCGTCTTCGACTAATCGGTGTACATACAAAAAAAAGAAAAAATACGCGTCGAATTGAGAACCTCCTCCTATTTTGAAGTCGGTTAAAAATACAGTCGAATTGAGAGTCACCTTCTTTTTTTGAAGGTGGTTAAACTCCAACCCTTTCCTTCTCCCGCCTCGAGCCGGACCACGGTACTCATTGCACTTGCACCTGTATCAGGCTGAAACCCCTTTTTATATGAGATTTATAACAGAAATAGGGAAAAATAAGTGGATCCATATAAGTATTGGATTTTTGTGTCTATCGATGCACTCATTGGCAAAGTCTTAATGGTGCAAGGTCCTGAAAATCTAGCATCTATATGGTTAGTGTGCGCCAATCCTTTCAATTCTATACGTATATAAATCATCTCGCCCGTTGAGAACCAATGTGACCTATATACGCACACAGGTGAAAGGTAGGTATAAACTGCACTTGCGCACACAAGGTCTGCCATCAATCAATATAGCGCATATCAGTCCCCGGGCGAAGCTACTCGAATCTCGCCCACCGCCCCACCCGCCACTGAGAGCCGAGGAGCGGACCCTGTCGGACGGGAGCCTACTTCTCAAGTTCAAAGTAAATCAGTAAGTGCTAAATCAGGCTTAGGGCTCCTACACTTCACTGTGCTACCTCTGTTCTAGTAATCGAGTGGTTTTCTTGTGAAATAACAGACAAATCGTGTGTTTCATATTGTTATGAGTGGGTCGTCCAGCCAAGGTCTCGTAAGGTGTTGTATGTCTATTGAGTGACCCCGTTATATAAAGACAAGCAACCAGCTGAGCTCTTTTGCCCTGCAAAGTGGTGCCAGGCTCTACATCTGCGATTTGTTGTGAACACTGTGTTTTCTGGTGACTCCAGGTACATTCATCATGTCGGTGCTGGCGGCCGGGATGCGTCGCAAGGCCGGGAGCATGTCTCCCACTAAGGACGTGGAGATGTCGCAGAAGCCGGTGGACACCACCCTGTGGTGCGTCTGCGAGGTGTGTGGTCTTCGCATCCACCCGTTGCTGCGCACCAACACCCCCACCGATGTCAAGAAGCCATCGAACTAAATGCTACGCGTTTAGACAATTGTTCTTTATAATTTTCTCTTCACTCTTCATCCCTTAGATTGTCCCAAGAAAATGAATGAATTATTGTATCAACCTTCCTTAGATGTCCCACTCTTTCAATTAAACCCTCTTTAGTTCAATACGGTGTTTTATTTACGTGGTATCTAAACCTCGCACACCCACACATCTGTCCCCGACACATACCTACGCAAATGGGAGAAAGAGGACATAGGTAGACACGTAAGTACACCTACATTCAAACCTAGGTCACCTTTGTACAGTCCAGTACAATAGAACATGTTGACCTATTATTTGAAATGTCCATTTAATAGATCTCGGTCACACACACATACACACACAAATTGCTCGTCTTATAACCAAAGTATAAATAACATAACATAACCTTTACAATAGAGAAGCACGCCCAAACATATCTAGAACAAGGAAATATAAAGTACTTGGTTATAACAAATCACACTAGTTTTCCCTACTTATCATTAAATAACTGGCAATATGAGATTGTTTATTACTTATCACTGAAGCCCAGATGACTTATCAGTACACAACATGCAACAGGTTGTTAGTAGGTACCTAGATGCAGGCAATTACATAGCACACAGCTCCGCTTAAACTTATAATGTTAGGTCTCAAAGCGCCAGGCATTAACCAATTGTGCTAAATACTTTAAATGATGTACTTTTAAAATAAATATAAATAAGGCATGTCAGGCTCCAGAGTCATAATTGATCAATACCTACCTATGGTGTGTGGAATGTCAAGAACTATTTTAGTTACATCCATGCCACCATTTTATCAAATGATAGATATACCATGATATTATACTCGTATATAGTATGACGGTGTTTGAAATGTTTAATGCCCTAATTAATTAATGATGGTAGGCTGGCACTTTTGTGATCAAGATTATGGGGTTGTCCGAAAAACCTTAACATTTATCTAATTTAACAAATCATAATTCTCCAAGGACTTATTGTTATCAATGTGCAATATCAATAAGAAGCGAGATGGTTTATTTTTTTAAATCAGAATTCATATTTCTATTATTATTCAAACGTACAATGGTTAACTTGGGTTAACTTTATAATAAAGAAAAATCAAAAAAGAATATGACGACGCATTTTTTCTTAAATTTATGTAAAGAATCTCCCAGATCGGTGGGCCAAGATAGTAGTTGTAAGTAGCCTGTTGTGTCCACAGCTGGATAACACAACTTCCTTGATATTGTTTACACTAGTATACTTATTTAGAATAAAACACAAGAATGAGCAATAAATTGTTTATTATATTTCACATCAAACACCGATTACTAACATTATTCGATAGGATAATATCTGGAATTATAAAACAAAAAATAAAATAGAAAATATAAAAAACCTTTTTCATCAAATTCTAAAAATTATAAATTAACTTACAAATGCAATCTTCTTACAACCTATTTCAACTTGGAATGTAATTAAAATCAGAATCATAAATTAGAGATTCACTAACAGATCAATAAATTACCTGGATTACATTAAATCGTAGAGTATCTTAGTGTAAGTCTACTGCATTGATTACATTAAGCATAGCTACAACAATATTTAATGACCAATATATGATGTACTTATCTTAATAAACATTTTCATAAATATTAAATAAGTTAACATATCGCGACTTGTGCGTTCAGTTTTTGCCATGTTCTGCTGAAGCTATACGCTATCTAGCGACAGGCTTGATGTTAGTAAAATTACATTTTTAAACATGTCTTGGGGACGAAAAGGCCAAAACCCCAAAACAGTTTTTAATTTAGTCACATTTTAGTAAAATTTCAAATGTTAAAATTAAATAAATTCTATCTACTTCATCAAAACTTGGTTTCGAAAAAGGTTGGACGGCCTCGTAACAATCATAACCACCGATTTTTTCAATTCCAAGATAATGATATTTTTATATCAAACATAAATACTACTTCGAACGCTCGTCTTACTAAATTAAATTCATTTGGCATATAGAAATGCTTCATAAAGTCAGCTCGTTTATTTATACAGGTAACTGTTTACATTTTTTGTTATTTTTAAATTGTATACATATAAAACGACTACAGTCTAATAGCAAAGAGCAGTCCTTTAATATCGTGGGTTAAATAGTAACATACATCATGTCCTACATTCTACATGTACTAAAGTGTACAGTACTTTAATAGTAATAAATATTTTTCTACTTAGTATAATCTACAATTGAAAATAAAAAAATCCCACTAGGTAAGTGGTTTATTTAAGTATATTAAATGAGATTCAAAAAAATAATATCATAAAATTTTGTCTTTTGATAACGAATTTAGAAAAATATTTGAAATTATAATAGAGCCAGAAAGGAAGACTTGTTTGTCTGTTTTTCAAACCTACAATTGAACATGTATATATATAATGTATATATACATAATATAATTTAATAACAACACCTGTTTTGGAAGCTCTTGTTCCAGCCATTCTAAGACTTCATTATCAGTCATCCATTAGGTCTCACCATAGATACGATCGCTCTTTAAAGCAAGTTAAATAGACAAAAATCTTAAGCAATACTAGACTAATAATAAATATGATTAAATACTGCGCCTAATTCTATTTAAATATAAATCGGTTAAATAGCCACGTTTTTATTTTTTGAGACAATTCTTGTGAATGCTCACTAAAGTATTTGAGACATATATGTATTTCAAAAATAAGTACCTCGTACAATCAAATTCATCGTTACTTTAATGTATCATGCCGTGTATAGTCTAATCAACGCCAGCGCAAGGCTACTCTTAGAAACTCAGTGCCCAAATCATTTTCGTATACACAAAGATGATTTATCTACGCATGTCATAAACTGCACTAAGACCTATTAGAAATACTACATTAAAAATACACACATAAAACTAGTTTGATTAAACATTGTTGAGAAAGATGTGCTTAGCGGTTCCAACGACGACGAATCAGACGAAGGTATTGTTTGCATAGCCACCATAGGAAACAAAAAAATTGAACTATTATGTAGACCACTATCAACAGGACATCGCATAAATAGCCCAGAACTTTTAAGACTCCAACTATTGCCAGTGGTCCAAGTACAGCCAAGAAGTAAAGGAGCAGGATAAGCAGTTGACTTAAGGATATCAAACCGACCATGTAGTCATAAGGATATTTAGCTTCATATACCAGTCTGTGATATACAATTACGGTTTTCTGCACGTATAAGCGTGCGAAACCGATAACCCGATCCTATATGGTTATTTCGTCCGAGTTGTCCTTCTTGTTCCTGCGGTTGCGGCGGTGCTTGCTGTTCGAGAGGATTTCGTACGCCTGCTGAATCTCCATGAAGCGTTCCTGTGCAGCCCTGCGTTCTGCTTCGTCCTTCACTTTATCAGGGTGGTTCTCACGAGATAGTTTCCTCCAAACCGAAGTTATCTCAGATTGAGAAGAATCCCGATTAACTCCCAGCACCTGTAATACAAACACAACATTGATTTCTATGCAAAAAAATAATTGAAATTACTTCTGTGTTGTATTTTTTTTTAATTTATAGTCTAAAATAGTTTGTAAAGCTCAATTACATTCAGCCATATCGACAACACAAATGACTACAAGTGCCACATAAAATTGACAGACATAAAAACAAAACAAAAAGAATATTATGATCCTGCAAAGCATTTTTTCATAATAAAAGTCATGTTAAAAAAACAGTTATATAACGCAAAATAAAAACGCAGTTTTAAACAGTAGCATCTACGGAACTATGATATTTGTTATTACCGCTTTCAATCTTTCATAAGGTCCTATTTCACAAGCGCTGGCCGCTGGGAAAAATCCCTGAGTAATAAAGGAAAAATCAGATAGCGCTTCAAATTTAGGTCATAGGTCATATTATCCTGTCATCTAGGAATCCTGACAAAAACTTGGGCAATTGGTGGTATGAGATATAACTATTATTTTTAAAACAAATTATATTTACTCGTGTAATAGACATTTTTAAGGGGTAAAATCAGTTAATGACTTCTCTAGTCACGGGTGGCGCGAGAGGGACTGTCAGACATTTTCCGACTAATAACCAACCCACTCCTACACAGGCCGGGACCGCAGCACATTAGTGGGATTGACCCGTAACCCCGACGAGAAGGAACAAGGCGACAGTCATTACAGGGGTTTTATTCTTAAAAACACTTGAATTAAATAGAATGGAGAGATGTTTAATTCCCAGTTCATCATGTTCGATGTGTGGTTGTGTCAGCTTCTAACAGGCTACCTATGTTTGTCTGAAAGAGGTGTGTCCTAATGTGTTTTACAAACACTGAACAGTAAAACATTTTCAGTTCACCATACTGCTTATTAGAAACACATTTGGCTGCTGCTCTATCTTATTGACAAGTACCAAACTCCCAGTTTACATTAAAAACAATTACTTACCCTGTATGCATTCTGTTCGCCATGTGGATCCGATAAGTCGATAATTTGTTTCCAAACTTCATACCATCCATGATGCTGGGCATACTGGTAAGTCTCAGCGATGCATTGCTTGACATCCAACCACCTAGGAATAACCAATTCGGTGTTAGTAAGAAACCGCCATACCACACGATATAAGGTTCATATTTCAGCATCTTAAGATGCATGATGTGTGTTATTACACTCACCAAGGACTCGTAAAGAAGTGATGAAGAGCTTCATAGATGGGTACCTCATCGCCTTCGCTGTCAGTGATTGTACCATGGAAATACAGATAGCTGCACCAGAGGGACAGGTAAATACAAGCACAAGCAGCCAGGATGGAAACACGCCTATAAAAAAAGAACAATTATTGTGACTGTATTCCTAATTGGTGACTGGCTGGTATCTATTATAATATGGAACTTTGTATTTAAATGTCACACGAACGCGTTTGCGTTTTTCTGCTCGACCTTTTTGAACGTTATAACTTACTTGGCGTTATGAGTCTTCTTCTTCGGAGTCCTACGCCAACGCTTGGAGTAGGAATCGAATGCACAGGCTGAGGCAAGAAGCATTATAGTAAACCAGATACTATCATCAAACACGTAGTAACGTATGGGATAGGCAATAAATGCCCCGAGTAACGGCCACTTGAGAGATCCCTCCTCGTTCCCGATGTTGCCTACAGTCCATACACCTGCCAGAAAAATGTTCTAATAAGTAAAAATTATAACAAGTACTTAACAATATAAAAATGAATCGCAAAATGTTTTGGTAAGCGCAAACTCAAAAACGCCGGGACCAATTTTGCCAATTCTTTTTTTGTTGAGTTCTTATTGTCAGGAGAAGGTTCTTATGAAAGATAACTGGGCTGGGAGTAACCGGGAAATTGCAACCGGTTGGATACCCATGCGAAACAGGGGCGAGCAGCTAGTACATAATCAGAAATAGCCAACCAAAGCCTATTTAGTTTCAAAAAGCCAAAAACCTACATGCTTGTTCAATAAAAACATATAGGTAGACAGCATGAGTCGTATATGTAAGAAATAAATCTTTTTTAAATTTTATCCTTCTCTTCTTTATATAAATTTATGCCTTGTTTTATCTTATGCATTTCAAATAAATATTTTTTGTCTCATTGCGATAAATAATGTATTTTTATGTTCTACAATATTACACTAACATTGTTACAACTTAAAAAGAGTGTACTGTGTAACCAATAATAATGAAGGTATTCTAAAGGCCAACAAAAAAAAGAAGCATTAAGAAGTTAGCGATAGAACAGTGCACCACATACCCTTAGACTTGGCCTTAGAACCATCCTCACAATTTACTAGTTCAGTTTTATGTTCGTCTGTGTTCACCTCCACATTCCGAGGTCTTCCCTTATCTGCCAGTTAGTAGGTTAGTAAGAGGATATGTTAGATGTAATTTATATTTAATATTCTTGTATAACTTACCAACTCCAACAGCCACCGGAATCAGCAGGTTCAAGTATCGGAGATTTATACCCCAGAACGAATCCGGAGGTATAGCAAACATCGTCATTTGCGCCCAGGAATATCCAACCATCAGCATTCCAGTGAATCGATTCATAGAAAATGGCGGCTGAACAAAATAAAGACACATCTTTAATATATGTATTTGGGGTCAGGGTTAGTGGAATTTATTCTTGCCCTTATAGATTCTATTACTAGAACTGTGACTAGGGCATTCCAGGGTCTAGATTAAGGGCTTATTTTTAAGTCCTATATTGTTTCTATTGTTTTATATTTGGCAAGTTAGTGCTAAAAATATGTAGTTCGTTGGTAGCAAGTCACCAAGCATTGGTTGCTGCACTAATAATTAATGCTTACGGTGCACAGTGTAGGTACATTCCTAAAATTAATTGTGAGGTATCATGTGGGGTATAAAATAATTACTAGTGTTTGCTAACAAGACTTTTGGCAGCAATTTTTCTATTAGACTTACCTATTTGCCAAGTAGCAGTGATAATGCATGCTATAATTATGATATTAGTCACAAATTGTAATAATGGTTAAGTATAGTTATGAATTAATAATTAAAATTGTTATTACACATGTGAAATGCATGAAAGATTTATAGATTAAATAAAAAAACTTTAATCAACTCCCAAATACTCACAAGCTACTTCACAACATTCATATAACAAACAAGTAATACAAAAAATCTAATTGAGTTGGCATTTGAGTATTTGGCTGTTAGGTCTACATAATTACAGTGAAATTGTTATTTCGAATACAGATTAACAAAAAAGTACAATTCATATACTTTATATAATGTCTATAAGATTCACCAAATAATTGTTTTGAAAACAATACTTTTACCAAAAGAAACAGCTCAGTGTTAATGTATTCCAAGACCATTGCAACCATTCCAGGTATTCTTGATAAGAATAAATTTTGACAAAACTAAATGTGCCACTCAGAAAAAATAGCCATTTCATTATGTAAGCCAATTTGTGCTAATAGCAGTCTTTCACGGAATACATGAGTATAATATTGAGCTGCTTATCCAGTTGTCATACTTGGCTAAAGAAATTTACCTATTCTCTCCAGGATGCATTGAATTCGATTATCATTAATATATTCATTTGATTTTTATATCACCAATAACAATCGTAAAATATGTTCAAAATGTAACAAGATTCATTGTTGTGCAATAAAATAATGAAACTAAACAAAAAATTCTATTAAAATTGTCAAACTAGCAGTTTTTAACAAAACCATGTCAATTAGGTATTCTATTTAAATTGCAAATTCTAATTATTTACAAAGTAGTGATTTTATTTAATAATGACATACTTACTATGTGTAATAAGGTTCATTATATTTCATATTATGATTAAATATCTAAATGAGAACTACAAATGCGAGTACATGACAATAAGCATTACTATTTGATAAAATAGCAATTAATTTTAGTTAGTGAATTACTTTTATTTACTGATATGTTTGCATCAATGCAAGAAGGAATTAAGATACATGTACTTAACTGAGAAGAAAAGATAATTAGTTTAATGTTATGGAAGGTCAAAGATTGAGTTAATAATGCCAATTTGAGCATTAGTCTCAGAAATGAAGCAAAGCAAGATTATTTTAGTTTAGTTGTGTTAACAAAAAAAGTAACCCAACACCATAAAATATACATACTTACAGTATGAAACCAAGTAGTCTTCCCAAAGGGCAGCAAAGTCAAGTCTTAAATAGAATACAACCAGAGTAATTAGAACAATATGACATCCATCCCAAGTATTAATGTAAGTAAAGAATAAAATTAGTTACAGCCTACAGCCTATAGCCCAAAGATATTAATTTTTACCCTGTATTACAAACAAGTATTGAAGGAATTTCATAGTAAGTACAATTAAATAACAATATCTTTTCTTATGCACTATTATATCAACTTCACATTATTAATCAGTTTAAACTTTCAACACAGCATTATTCTTATTCATCAATTTTTCAATCTTTTGACGGTCAGTATATGAGCTAATAGAAAAAGCACCCTATGTCTCACTTAGGACTTACATACCAGGAGTTAATATTGCAAAGCAGCAGATTTATCTTATGCTAAATAAAAAATAATTTTACACACAGCTTCATATTACAAATTGTCAAGAACAGCCCTGCCTAAATGTCGAACCGAGGCACCAGCTCTTGAAAATATAATACCAAGGTGCAAACTGCCTTATTTTAAAACTTTCCTTCTCTCAGTGTTTCTCACCGTTAAGATACTACAGAATATATATATACTTAGTAGGAGCCTGAGAAGAATACCTTATTATTTAAACCAAGAGTGAAGTAGGTCATATAAAGACAGTGTAAAAATCTTCATAATACACTGGCAAAGTACACTATTTTTAATAAAGATGTCTAATGTACAAATACTGGTATAAAAGCTATATTATTATAATAGAAATCCAACAAAGCATTGAGATAATCTCCTTTGAAATACATTACCTTTAACTCTGCAATGGAAAGTCGGAGAGTTATCTTAAAATTAACATAAGTAGCTATATTCCCAATTGTTTTTAGAATTGAATAAATATATAAATACACATAGCTAAGCCCAATTTTAAGAATGATGTATTGAAATAAGATCTGCATTCTTGTCCAGACTGCAAGCGCGAGCTCAACCTTATAGTATCCTTGTTAGAATAAAAATGGGTGTGTTGTATGGCTTACCTTTTTGTTCTGGATTACCCTCTTCGCCAATTCTTCCAAGTACCGTGGATCGTCATTAGCCTCGCGGACGTACCGAGGAATCCTAAGAATTTCCCCTATCCATCCTATCAGGAACCCCCCAAGCGTACTCCACCAAACAAAAGCATGTCGATCCCGGCGTAAATAAAAATGGTGGCCTCCAAAGATACCAGTGAAAAACCATAAAATATAAGCAATGACGACTGATTTCTGTCCTGGCATCCCGCTGCTCTTCGTGCCCATGATATCGAATAACAAGTCTGCCGATCAATAACGCAGCACTTGTGGAATGATGAACTATAAGTACTAGAATTGGTTATTGATTTTATTGGTTTGCAATTAATACACGTCAAATTCCCCTTTTACATTTATATATCACTCGTTTACCCGTATAAACGACAGAGTAACTGTAAATTATTCCTATATCTATTGTTGACGCGGTTCAAATCTGTCGCCTAAACACATGACGTGGGATTTAGAACGCGATTTGACAGCAAAGTAAACTGATAGGTAGATTTAATGTCGACACACCAGCCGCGCAGGACAAGAAAGCCGAAGGCGGAGCTAAATAGGGCAGGGCGGAGCTCGGTTTATTGATTCTACCATAGACAAAAAATAAAACATATCTATGAAAAAGAAATGATTGTCTTTGATACATTACTAAATTGCTCTGAAGTAGGTAGTCTATACCAAGCCTTAGATCTGTTGGAATGTAAAAATTTTACACTATTTTCATGTTTTTAACATAGGAAGAATAGTATGAAAATGTCCGCTTTAACATTTTATACTAGTAAATTTAAATATAAACTTTATCATAACGTAACACCAACTTTGTACACTTAGTTTGCTATAAACGCTTTGACTTAGGCTTTAGGCTTTGATATTTATGTTTTAGAAAGAATAAATTTCATACAAAGTGGAAATATGTGGTATAAGAAAATGGAATTAGTGCTTAATTCTTATGTAGTGTTTTAGCACACCGGCCTCATCTCAAGATTCAAGGGGGAGCGAGAGATCTGCCCTGTGATTGTCCAACGGAGCGTGCAGGAACACAATTGTACGATTAAGACCATTTATTCCAGACATAAATGAGCAGCTTCTGCCCATCTTCTACAGGTCTGCTGCGGGTGACTCATGACTTCCTTTCCATTCCGCAATAACTATTTATGGCAAGAATTTTTGTAGAAGAATACGTCTATATCCCTCTACACCTCGTCACCGAACATTTTTTGCACAACAATTGCCAACAATACTTCGTCCGTTATATCTGAGATGAGGGTACGATGTGGTGGTAATGGCAGCGTGGCACAGTGCAACACACAAAACGTTAAGAAACCATGATTTGTCCCAATTCAGTCATCGAGTACTGGTTGGGTAGCCTTGATGGTGGTAAGTTCAGCAGTAACGTGTAGAAGTCTTACCCTTTATTCCGCCACCAGGACTAGACAAAGCTCCGACCACCGCCACCTCGATACAATATACCGATATACCTACCAGCTTAATCCCCTGTTCTCACAGTTATAGCAACACAGATGCGTTTGGTTCAAGATGGACCAAGCTCAAATGCAACAATCCTCGTAGGATATGGATCTATTTCAATATTGGCAACAGATTTCTTAATAAAAATCAAAATAAAATTACGATAGAGCTGTTTTGCTGAAAGCAAAAATGCATATTTATTGCTAAAATATTATTCTATTTATTTATTTTTTCTTTTTTCCTTATTTAATTTTGTCATTTCTTTTCATGGGATCACAGGATCCCGAACCTTTTGGAAGGCACAGCGAAGGTGCGAACGAACCTTTTAGAAGGTTAAACAGTTGTAATCTGTGAATCTGTTTTAATTGTGATGGGACATCAGCCAGCAAGTATGCACCGTAAAAGTGCACCCAAGGACAATCCCGGATGGTAAAAAAATATATTGTTATGGGTGTGGGTGGCTGTGGACTGTTAGATGATAACTATGGAACATACGTTGAGCTGCTTGGAGAAGGAGAGACATCCAACGTCTATCAAACATATCCTGATCAAGTCCCTACCAGCATCTTACAGAGATACATCCCTCCCCCGACTCTCCTTCAACTCCAACTTTTGCGAATATCTACTCAAACAAGCCAATTAATGCAAGAATGAGGAAGGAGGGCACGTTCCTCATAGTCATCAATGTTCACCCAGTTACTCTATTTTATTATAATAAATATTCGCATATGCAGTTTTAATGAATACCAATCCGGAACACTACACTTTGCTGCTGAAATTTAATACTATTATCTAATTAGGTACATAGGAATTAACATTGTGAAATGTGTAATAACTGGTTACTTTAACTGGGCTGAATTGTAGGTACCTACATAATGCCTAATTCAGTTCACGAAACAATTTGCACTTTTGCACCTGTCGGTGTTGTAGTATCTTGCATAACCAGAGGACGTAATATATTTCTTCAAGTCCTGTAGTAATCAGGTGCGTACATATTATGAATTAATATTGTGTTTTCCTTGTGTTAGAAATTATTTTAGACATGTCTCAAAGATTACAATATTTTTTTAGTTTTAAAAATATCACTTTAATTTATTTCTAGTGTGCTTAGCATATTGTACTGTAGAACTTCGTAAGTACCTAATGAAGTATTAGTTTGTTTACTTGCTAGTAAAATATTTGTGTCGTACAGTCGTACTTGACTTTCAGCATGTCGCTTTTAGTCATACATCCGGAAACGATGTAGGGCTGCCAACCAGCCAACCAATATTGTCATCGACAACGTCCACCGCCAACTTTTTTTTTTAACAGTCAGCAAAAAGACCTCAATCAGACAAGACATGGTGTGAACGAAAATCTATTTTCTTTCATATTTACGCAGTCAACAGACTGTACAAATTTAGTGACTTTATTTATTCAAAAGAAGAAAATAAAATGTAAAACGTGTATTTGAAATGTAGATTATTGCCTTATGGAGAAGTTTTTTGGATTCACTCATCGATCGCGTCATCAAATAATATTATCCATTACTTTAGCTACATCTAATCATGTTTGAAGAAAATATTAATTGAATGCTCTTGTGTAAAAATAGATGAAGTGATTTCTTATTTCTTAAATTTCTGCAATTTGTTTTCAAAATGTACGAAGATTCTACAGAGACGATTTATGGGACCCATGAAGACTCCCACGTTGTGATGTCAGAAAAGGTCCAATCTCTGGCAGGAAGCATATACCAGGAGTTCGAACGCATGATAGCTAGGTACGACGAAGATGTAGTGAAGACGCTTATGCCACTCTTGGTTAACGTGCTCGAGTGTTTGGACTCGGCTTATCAGACGAACCAGGAACATGAAGTCGAGCTGGAGTTGCTGCGCGAAGACAATGAACAGCTGGTCACGCAATACGAGCGCGAGAAGGCAGCGAGGAAGCACGCAGAGCAGAAGGTGAGTGAACAAAACAACTAGTAAAGAAGGGGCCTTGACTGTCTTCCTTTGTTTTGCATCACAAGGCTGCCTTAGAACGTATTTAGTATTTTACTGCAATCTGTATTTAATGCACGCATATTATTTTTATTTGGTTTTGTTATTGTACCAAGTGGATAGTTGCTCAAGTATTCTGGTAGTTTCATGGAATGTGCCATCCATTCTGTTATCTGAATCCCAAGGTAATATTGGTATCAAGTTTGCATAATAAGTGACATAGGCATCTGGTAATTATATCAGGCCCCACAATTTTATATTTATCATGTTTAACAGTCTGCTGTTTGACCTGTGTTGATTTATGCTATTGTTTACTGACATATAACTTGCCGCCTTCTAAATGTTGCACGACAATGACAATTGCAAAACCTAATTTTGTTCTTCCATTAATAATTGTAATTTGTAAAGTTTGTGAACGGATTTTAATTGATAAAAACATATTCTTTGCTGATAAAGAGCTTTATCTTCTATTTGAATCTAATAAGATTAATATGTATTTCTTACTACATTTCATTTTCATTGTAGATCAGATATTTTTTGGAGGTGTTGTTTTAAGTAACAGTAGAATAAGAGCTTATTTCAAAAATATTTCTACTTGTGTAGAATCAAGTTTTTAAATGTCAGCTTTTAGAGTATTTTAGTAGATCACTCACAGCCATAATTAAAACCAATGTCAGTCCGAAAACAGTTTTGCCATCATTAGTGATAAGACAGAGATTTATTTCAGCCATTTGTGATTTTTCAAATGTGCACACATATTATTGAATTTAGTATATTCACTCTTCTTGTGTCACAATGTTAGTTTTTATTTGTAGATTCAGGTCAGAGAATCAGCTACAAGATATTTATGGGAGTTACCCCTAATAAGTGATTAGCGTTGTTCAACCTTAACAGTTTCTTTTTTTATAATTTATATTTCCAAATCATTTGTCAGGACATCTAGTTCTCAAATATTATATTATTGATACTTAATACTTTTTAGCAGTAGTTTGTGAACAGACTTTTTGGTTGAATAAAAATTTCAGCCAATAAAGAATAACCTTGAATCAAACATTAAATATGTGCAATTTTAAAAACAATTGCAACTGGTTTTGCCGTGATCTGATTAATATAAATCATATATTATGATATTATTTAGCTAAGTGACTAATGCAATGTTATTACTCAATAGAAGCTGCATGCACTTGTGTTGTCTTAGTTTTTTAATTATAATATGACTGCAACATTATCATAGTTAGTCGCAAAACGGGATGGCACATTGATAAAAACAGTTCTTATAATTTCTCTATATGTAATTCTTAAAAAATCAAAATGATTATAGTTGGCCAACCAAATTAAAAAATGAAATGCATTTCATATTATTGTAGTTATAATATCTAAAATATGTTTTATATTGTTTCTCCTAGGCATCGGGAAAGACAAATAAATTTAATAAGTCCAAATTCAATATAATCACTACATATTTGATTCCTTCATCAAACCAGTTTGATAGCACCATATTAAATGTACACCAAATCTACATGTAAGGCCCAAGTTTCATAATGATACAACAATGGAAAGTTTTATGTGGTTCAAGTTCTCATATTTTTACTGTTATTAGGTTGACATAGTAAACATGTGCTAAAAGCAAGTAAAAGTGCTAAATTATTCAGGTCCTGAACTCATATAATACACTAAATTATGATTATATGATTACTAAATCTCATATAACAAATAGGATGATTAATGAGCAAAATAGAAAACAAAATGTATATATTTACTTTTATATTGAAATCTTATTTTCCTGTGACCTAAAATAAAAACAAGTCAAAATATATTGTTATATCCTATTGAGTGCCAACTAATAATTGGGTCCACTAGTGTATTGTGTGATTTATTTGAATGTAATTTACTGCTTGATAGTTATTCATTATAACAATTTTACAGAATTTTGTGTTGTGGACAATGTTAATGAAAATATACATACTCATAAACGAATATCTGGTCAAATATAGATATTTCTTCAAATTCCAAACTTTATTTTGAAGTCTTTATTTCAGTTAACATCTTACAAAATAAATCATATAATCCATAAGTAACTCTGTTTAAACTAAGTCTTTTAAGTTCAAAGTAATTTTAGTTCTCAACTGTAGACACTTGAGTTCTACTCAGTTTAAAATGCTTTGTTATATTTATCATCTGTAGGTCAAATAGTATAAAAGTATTGAGAAGTTGTAGATTTGAGTGATACATATTGCAATCCCTCTAAAAACCTCCTTTTTGTGTTTTTTTGAAATAGGTACATGGTTCTTATGTAAATTGCTAAAATAGCAGTTTCTTAAATTAATACAAAGTACCTTTTTAACAAAATGAGAATGAAACCTGTTAAGAAGATATGAATGACGCAACTAAAAGTGATAAATTTCTTGTTGTTGACAGTTACTCGAAGCGGAAGATCACTTCGAAGGCGAGAGAAAAGACCTATCAGGTCGAATGGAGGCTCTGGACAGCATAGTCAGGATGTTGGAGCTCAAACATAAGAACTCCTTGGACCACGCGAGCAGACTCGAGGAAAGAGAGAATGAACTGAAGAAGGTAAGTCTCAGGAATATTTTTACCAGCTCACACACATGACACCTCATCTTTTTTGACCGTTGGGTAGGCAATGCGCAATTTACATATTAAGCGTGACACTAACTTCTAGCCAGTTGTTTTATGAATGAGACCTTTATAAAAGAATGCTATCCAACTACAATTGCAATACCTAGCAGGAGTTATGGGAAGATTCTTAATTAATCAAACCAAAAGCGAATGCTGGAGTTCGTGCACCTATTGTTTTACTAATGTGTCTATACGTATAATCGATGTCGTTTTATATGAAATATATTAGTTTGCTTCGAACAACGTACATGTCTCATAATATAGACTAGCCTTGAAGTGCGTTAACATTATACAAAACAGCTGATCTTTTAAGTATGTAGATGCAGAAAAGGCTTAACTAAGTAGTTCATGGTGATCATCGGAAGTAAGTTGCAAGGTCTTATCGAAATCAACTAGGCACTAGAAGCAGTTCCTAGTGTTCTGTATGCGGAAATATGTTATTAGTAAAGTTACATTTATGAGAAGTTTCTAGTTTAAGTTAGTAGTTATGATAAGTAGAACACGTATCTACGTAAAAGAAAAAGCAGTTATACTGTTTCAGTTTTGTTTGGTCAGAAAGATTTTGGTAGTTATTTTCTGTGTATAGGCTGGAACAGGGCTACTAAGCTCTCGCCATATTATAGAAAAGGTTCTATCTTACTAGATTTTCTGAAATTTATACTACACAGTATTTTATTTAGTAAAGTAAGATAGCCGTTTGATAACTCGTAACAGCTGTATAACACAAATTTTATTTTTCATACTTGGTTCTTGCAAACAATTCAATTTGTCAATGTTCGGAACGTGTTTTGTACCTAATAACACCAAGTTAATGTGTTTTTTCTCGCAGCTGCCTTGTTCTCAGAAGTATATATAGTCTCAATAGTGTCTGTCTTATATTTCATGACAGTGCACGTTTTGTGTAATACGAAACTTAGTTTTTTTATGCAAGTATGTTTGTAGCCAAGCCGCAGGCGGTACAAACGTTGCATTTGAATAATAAAGGAGACGGTGAACCAATTTCGATCAAGGCGTATTATCGTCTGCTAGAAAAATTACAAAAGAACCGATGTATAAATTACTTGAAAGTATTTTGAACTCTATTTCGGGTCCACACGGATATAGTTAATCTGTTTAAGATTTTTAAAAGAAGAAGGGATTAGGAATAGTTGCGGTTCGTTCGAGGTCCTCTAAATCCTATAATATACTAAAAAAAATCACTAGTTCGAAATTTCAAATCCCTAATCACAAAAGGCATGCAACGCACTTTTAACCTAACCTTGTCATCACATGATCCTTATATACTTGTTTGCCCCTTAAAAAAAAACTGATTTTCGTATTTTATTAACATACGAAAATGCAACTTGATACATCGTGCTCCTTGAACCATTCAACATACATTCTAAAAGGTATCTAATACCAAAGAACGCACGCTGACAAACACACTATTTAATCTTCTTGTGCTAATCCAATAAACGTTTGGTACTATTTTTTATAGAAACATATATAGTTGGATTAGTAGAGGTATCTTGAAAGCCAGTTTACATTTTACAGGCCTTACTAACCACTTGCCCCATTTTACGAACCATGTTTTAATGAGGCTCTTGAAATACATGTATGCTTACAATTATTTAAAAGGGCTCGAAGTTTTTCTATTTGCCCTCGTTGATTTAATGGAACCAGATAGGATATATCATAAGCCTTAGCATAGGAAATTTCGTTTCCAAAAATGTTCGCAATTTTGTTGAGCGTAAAAGCGCTTATTCCACAATAATGCATTTAAAAGTCAAAAAAGTCAAAAATTATTTATTTAAATTAGACCACAGTAGGCACTTTTGAACGTCAAGCAAAAATGAAAAAAGTATATACTCTTTTTCAATCAGTTTTACAATACATTTCTTTGTTACATCATTTAGTCGGTTCTGATATGTGAGAACAATGTAACACTGATGTTCAGGCAAAAGTACGAAAAAGAAGTGAACCTCAAGGACAACATATTTAGACAGCCTGGAGATGACCAGTCCCAATAGGCGTCATGCATTTAAAGATTTTATAAACATCTACGGTCAAAATAACTTAGTGTGTCATTCAAATATCGATTATACAGATGATATAATCAAAAGTAGTCCACGACCGACTTTATGACGACAAATCATTCGGTAAGATTATTCATAAGCCGGGGCCTTGTTTTGTCGAGTTAGTTGTCACAGAGATCAAGAAAGATATCTTAACGAACGAAATACGAATATTGATTGGAGACAAAGAAGCGGCATTGAGAGAGAGAGAGAGAGCTGCCTTAGCGATTTTTTGTCGCCGATCAATGGACTAATCGTTACAAATGACCGCTGAGACAACCTTCCGTTCCCCAAGGATGTGATGGTTTTAGATTAGAAACAAAATATTGTATAACTTTTTGTAAACATGTAACTAACGCGGTCATACTGCCGGTCAGCTACAAACTACGTTATGTGTATCAGTATTCCAGACTTCATGCAAAATCCTTCGACTTTTACAGTAATTGATTGACAAACGTATTTATCTTAGTTGGGTATAACATAGTGAATTATGCAATTGCTAATTTTCGGGTAAATACTGTAACGATGATTCGAACTAAATTCCCACCGTGGTAATTCGAAGTTGCGTGAACGCCGGCGTCCGCTTGGGGTTTGGTGAATCAAGTGAATTCTTCCTATTCCTTCAATTTTGGCAAAAATGTAGTGGTAAACCATTAAAAAATATCTTAATTACAATTTACATAAAATGATACGATTGTATAAGTGCATAATAATTTGCATTACCTACGTATTTCTGTTTACAAAATACATGTTCGTCCAGGAGCGTCGTGGATGGTCTATACTTAAGTAGATTATGCTTGGAGACACGTACTGGGAAGTTTGATACACAATTTCAATGTAAATGTTTGCATGCAGGAATATTCGAAACTGCACGAGCGATACAATGAGCTGTTCAAGACCCACGTGGACTACATGGAGCGCACTAAGTTGCTGATGAGCACCGCCAGTGATAGAGGAGAAGTGCGCGGAAGACTTGGCCTCAACCCTATGCGTTCTAGTGGTGAGTACATCTATTTATTTCATGCAAATACATCGACAATAGAAACAAATAATAGAAGATAAGGAATAAATGTAAGAGTCTGTGTTTGTTAACATCCATTTAAAAGCCAACTAGGTATGCACCTCTATCAGAAATTGTACATGAAATATGAATGTTAATAAAAAAGTTTGAAGTAAAATTGATTGAAAAAAGATTTCAATGTCCCTTATTACCGAAGGTACAAAAGATAGGGTCTGGATTAAAGAATCTTCGCTTTTCTTGGTTGCTAGTGATTTTTTAAGCATGTAGATACCAAGGCAGTATAGGTTTCAAGTCGAAAAGGAAAACCGGTTACTTATAGGTTTATTAATTATCTTTGTAATTCGCTTAAGCGACTTAGAAAGTGTTATGACGTAAATAAAAAGGACTGAAACTAGATGTAGGTACTTGTATTTGCGCACATAGTTTTATCTAGATTCATATACTATTACTAGAGATTTCCTGCGCAGTTGGCTAGTCTAATTGAATCACAAGTCGTCGTGATTGAAGTCGTTCTGCTGAAATTATTACTTGCGTACGTATCATATTAAGTAATATATACTTACCTGAAAAAAAATATAGCCAAAAAAGCTCAAATAATTTTCCTGTCATTATGTTTAACAATAACTTTTGTTTCGAGTTTTATTACTTCTACTACATATTGCTAGTTCAAATATAAAAAGTAACACCTATTTTAATTTTAATTGCTTTACTTTTTAGTCTATATGTGCGTGGAACGCACGTGCAATGTAAATATAGAGTTTAATATTCTGAAATATTGGAGCTAGTAATATATATTACTATCAGTTCTAAGCACTTTTATTGGTTTGCACTTTTTTGATAAGGGAGCGAATATTAAGTACATTTCATTATGTTAATAGTTTAATTTACGATGATGTTATTAAAAAGTATGTGTCTTTGAAACAAGTTAAAATTTAACACTTGGCAACTTTAACCCTTCTATTGAAGAAACGCGCCAACAAAAGCTTAGGGACGAATATTTTACATATGAGAAGACTAAATCTCCCAATCTATCGTAGCAAATATTTACTTTTGAAATGGGAAACTTGTGATACGTCCACACTATAAGGTTAGAAGTTTGTCTGGTTTAAGCGGGTTTATTATTTATAACTACTTAATGTTTAATCAAATCTTTTAAAAACACCCGATCGTCGTCTAGTGACTCGTTGATGATTGCTGTCTAGTCAGCATATTGTTCTGATAACGCAAATGAAACGATCCGGTCCGTATACAATAAACGAGATCGTGTCTATAAGAACAAAAGCAAAACAACGGCTTGCCTTGCTAAATATCGATTGACTCGGGTCACAGCGGTCTATCCTCGGCGGTATAAACTCATCCTTAGACAGGCATATCGCCAGGATTACTGGCATACTATTTTTAGCTTACTTGTGATAGGTATACTTTTTCGTACGGCAATAATAATGACTGATGTCGATAGATTGAGATCAATTAAGTATTAACATAAGTTCTTTTGAATTTCTGCCTAACATTTCGATTTACATTGATTGGTATTAATTTCGACAGCTATTCTTACATTTTCAATATCACTTATCAACAACTAACATCGCGTTTACACGCGGGGCGTAACGCATTACGACGTGCGTTCGTCATTCATTGCCGCAGCAAGCTGCGTCATCGCTCGCTCCAAAACAAATATATGAACAGAATGAGCAATGCATGGCTTGCCGCACGACGCGCCGTGCAACGCGCCGTGTCTTCATAAAGGAGGCCCAAGTAATAAGTCTCTAGTTATAAATAACAATCGGGTTGCTAATCTGATAATAATTGAATCCTCAACGTGCTAGTGTGCGATTATCGTATGTAGTGAGATAATGTGTGTTATTACGGCGCTACACTCACGGCTTGGTCTAGATACTGAGTTAAAAGTATCAATTAAACCAGTTTACGAACGATCTCTATCTGCTACTATCTGCATGCTTAGCGTTCAAATAGTTGTTTTCTTATAAAAACTATTTCCTTATAAAAATCTGTAAAGTCTACATTCTACTCTCCATGATTGAAAAGCAAGAAAACCTAAAAGCTAGAAAAATAAAAGAAAGAAGAAATACTATTTTATTTTGCGGCAAGTCTTAATAAACGTAGCAACTGAAGCTAACGTTATTCCTGCAAATGCTGGCTTCTTCTTTGTTCACTGATATCACGGTTGTCAAGGATTTCTCTCGTACAGTTTAATTTAATTAGACTATGCCTGAGCTTAGAAGATACATCAGCCGCAAACTAACCGCTTTTAATACAGACTGTAGCCCAATTATACTGGAGTTTTATTGAATTTATCGCATTATTTTTATCATTTGTATTTAATGATGCAATCGTAATATCGTTTGGAAACTCAATCGGTAATTATGAGTTGAAGGTTTCCAACATTAAATGATTCATTTCAGCTGTGTAGTGACGTAGACAGACGATGCTCACAAGCTCGCGATCGATTTAACAGTAAAGCGGAATCTGAGAATAGGTATTTTACTTATAAAGAACTAGCTTCCGTCTGCGGCTTCGCTCGCGTCATATGTTGGTAAAAAGTAGCCTATGTCCTATTCAAGAGTGTATCCTATGCCTGTGCCAAATTTCATCCAGATCCGTCTACCCGTTTTGGCGTGATTGAGTATCAAACATCCAAACATCGTAACTTTCGCATTTATAATATTTTACTTATTAGTTATAACTTTAGGAATATCTGAATTGAATTAAATAATTACCACTATCACCTTGAAGGTATTATTTTTAAACATGAGGTTCTAATCACTAGTATATATCATTCAACACGCAATTAATATCTGCCTTCAATTTGTGTTGTACTGATCCAATTCATTGACGTAATGCACCGGCCGTTCAAGTACTATTCTGTTGTGTATTTAAGAATGCGATAAAGACAGTAAAATTGCATTATAATTGGGCTACAGTTTGTATTAGAAGCGGCCAGTTTATAGCTGAAGTATCTTGTTTTTGTGAGGGAATAATCATCAAATGACTTCTCCCGCCCAGGGTGGGAGCGGGAGGAGTGTCAGACTCTTACTGACTAAAAACACCCCCGTTCCTACTCCTGCTCTGGGCCGAGGTCGCGGTGCCTCATTCTTATTTAATTGTACAAATCAACTCCATAACAATCGTGGTACATTCAATAAATACCTGCACCTGATACTTAAACGTAATGTCGTAATATTTTATTTATTTGAACATTATTGTGCGGATTTTTGGGTTACACGAAAAATAGGTTCATTAATTCTAAAGTTTTCGACCGTAAAATGTAATCAAGCACTTTCAGAGTGAAACAAGCGAGCGAATACGAGCGTTTAAAATAAATCAGTTTCCAATTCTGGTCGTGTTTTTCCAATAAACTTAGCTCGGAAAGCTTCATTAACGTTTCTGTGCGGACCACGAACCTCCTTTGAATCGAACTTGATTTATCTGTTTGATAGGAATGAAGTGCAGCGGCGACGAGACGAGCCGCTATCATGATTAACGCAACGCTCAGAGAGTATCGTTAGATGTGGTAACACCGTATACACATTTCCATAACATCATTTTGAAACTAGGTCACAAATGTTCAAAAATTCTCTGAAGTGACGATAGAATTAAATTAACGTTTAATACTTTCGTTATACTGGCTAAGTTTGTCTTGATTCATGAAACCCTAAGCGAACGCCGGCTCACCCACCTTGTGTCTTACTATTGTGTCTCGAATTACCACTATTGAAAGGTTAAGCTTAATTTTTGGCTATATTTTATAAATATGTGTTAGAGAAAGTACTTAACTGTTTCAAGCCAAACTAATTATTTTGGCAAAGTTTTGTGATAGCAGTTTTGTTAATAGTTAAGTTAGATAATTATAGTCTTTTAATACATTAGCCATTTAAATGTATGTGACACAACACATGTTAGTTAAAGTAAAGTACCTACCTAATGACCGAAGTCGTTCAATAAATCGATACCATCAGTCCCAACTGTTCCTAGCTTTCAAGACGCTGTAGAGCCTTCAAAGATTCATATATTTAACAATACTAATTCATTCTTATATTTTTAAATAAAGAACATTATTTAATATTTCAAGTTTAACGATCTTGCCGAGTGATGTTATATATCTTTTAAAGCATGCGTGCAAGCTACTTGAAGTGGATTGGAATTTTTCTTTCTTACAAACCTTGTCTCGAGGTTGCAATAAAAAAACTAAATTGGCCAAGTCGGATCCTTCGGCCAAAATTGGTTAGTCGAGTCGCTCTACAATATTAATCTCTCATACATGTAGTTTTAGCTTTTCTGCGTTATAAGTAGATCGACTTAATAAATTCTTATTATTAGATTTTTTCTTGCATGTCCTTCCAGTTAAAAACCCAAAGCACAGAAATAAAAACAATAACTATTGCGCAACTTTTTCTAATACAACAAATATTTTCTTGTAGAATGTTTTTTTCGGCTCACAAAATGTTAATTGATTTAGATGTTTGAATATAATTATTAGAAGTGGACCAGTTGCCCTTGGATATCGTTTTTGTAATTCTTGTAGACGTTACTATTACCATCTATAACATAATACTTATAAATAAATACTTTCAAAGTTATCAATTGTTCGTATAAGGTGTCACCATGAAGGGCCATTTATATTGAAATGAGATGGGTGCTTGCGTAGTTTAAGTCTATTTTGTGTATTTAACGACTTTTCGGTTATGTAATGAAGTCGTCTTCGTCTCTCCGAAGCCTCAAAATCCTCATATATTTCCATGGATGTCTTAACCTCAATCCAAGCTTCAATATCATCAAGTTTAGAGAAGGGGCAACGAACTATTTATGACCTTTTATATGTTAGTTGTGGACACCGGTTTCACTCACTTTCATTGCAATTTGACAAAACATATTTACGGTAAATGTGTTACCGTCATTTACATTGACTAGTTATAAAGTGACATACCAAGTAAAGTGCCGTATTTGAGTGCACATTAGATTATATAAGTATATTCACTGCTAACATAACGTGAACGGAACGGAGCGTGCCCCACAAAGACATCGGCCGACATGAGCCAGCATTCTCTGCTACAATATACTTTATGGCCATACATCGAAGTTTATTCCTGCAAATAGCACAACGATGAACGATATAACGTTAAAGACCATTTCTAGCTTTCTACTCAAACAAGTTCATCGTACAGTTTCACCGTCCATAATGCTCTGATTGGTTAAATTAGGTAGGTGGAGGCCAATTGGTTTTAATGACGAGTACCTATAATTGTACTTCTTGCTCCCGACTTGCTACTTTGCAGTATAAACTGTGTGTTTTTGGCTCTATATAGAAGTATGCGTATAATTAAAATATTTCGGCAAAAGATTAAAAATATGCCAGTATGTTTAATCGCAAAAAAGTGTCGCGAAGTTGTGAACTGTATTATCAGTTAAAATCTTGGAAAACGGGCCAGTGACCTAATCTCACCCTTTGCCCTCTCAGGTCCGATATCGTTCGGGTTTGCATCGCTGGAGAGTTCGATGCACAATGTGGAACAAACGGAGAGTATGCCTGGTAGTCCTGTCAGCTTGTCGTCATCACCTCCTTCTCCACCAACTGGCTCCGACCTGGCAGCAGTGAGGACTGTGGAATGCGCACATCAGACAGACCCCATCACACAGCAAAGCCAGGTAAAAACAATTTCAGTTCCAGTAATCAGTTATAAATATTAGCGAAACATAAATATGATCAAGGGAAAATAAAGTGGGGTGGACCCTGTTTTAATATTAGTTGAATATATACTGGGATACGTCGCTTGAAAACAGACTTGGTCAGAATTGTAGGAAGAATGCTTCCAAACTTTGAAATCAAAGTGGCTATAACTATGTACAAGAGATCTTCCATCTGCTAGTTGGTGGCTATCATTCATTCTGTTTAGCATTTTTAGTCATGTTTTTGGGACAATATCTTCTGTGGGCTTTGCCAGACTGACTTCCTAGTAAAAAAGGCGGAACCGATCTATATTTATACTGTTGAAATCGTTAATACCAGTGTTCTATAGATCTTTAAACACACAAATCATCTCATCCAGGCATTCTGGATTACATAAACCCTGCTTCGGGTCTTACTATATTACGTTAATCAGGATATTATGAAAGGGTCGCGCCGCCGTCGTTTGATATCTAATTATAGGTTATTACTGTACTCTAGTTCCTAAGTGAGTGAAAATGACTAGTTTTAAACTAATTTCAGTTTTGATTAACATCCTTACTTAAACGTTTTAACATTATATTCAGTGTCAATAAAAGGAGTCATATAGATGAAGAATATTTTATATTAGAGTGGTTGTTTGAGAGTCGTGATATTTTAGTTTTTATATCTACATACATATGTTGGAAGTGTTAACGTACGCGCCCTAGTTGGTTGAGGGCAGTGTAGTAGCAATTCACATGTGTGACATTTTCAAGTGGACGTGGTTAAGAAACCAAGAAAAATTCTTGCGAACAATTTTCTAGGAATCTGCAAGATTTTTTTATATTTTAAAGTTGCTTAGATGTCTAGATAGCCGTGATTATTTATCAAAAAGCGAAGGTGGATCTAATTTTTATACTTTAGGCGATGTGTGTGCCTAGTGCGAGTTTGCCTGATATAACGCAATAGACAACCAACCATCGCGGTGTATTAAAAGTATCAAAAATATTCTTTTTATATATTTTGATGGGCTTACAATTACTAAAGCCCTATTTTAACCTCCATTCGACATGTTCTCATGGTATTATTTACTATTAGATAATACTCGAAAAACATTGTCCTTGATATACTTAGGTACGAGTATATGTGCCACGCAGTGCCACAACAAATATTAATTTGGGCATTGTGTGCAATATAATAATACGATATGATAAAGATTTTATCAGCTAGACTTCGTTTAGGTAGACCGTTCACCGGTAGTAAATATTCGTAGTGCCATCCTATCGAGAAAGTGTTTTTATTACACATATTTATTCTTATAGTCCATTTTCAATATAAAAACATCGCGGACGTATGTACTCATAGATAATTGTATGGTTTGAATGTTTTTATTAAATTATTTACCCTTATACATAAATATTATAGAAAAATCTTATATAGGGGTATATTATATAATAGCCTGAGGCTTCTGATCTGTTGTAATTTAATTAAATAACACGTACACCCTACAGAAATCAGAAATGTTTTTATCTGTTAATTGTAGTTAGTGATTTTCTTCAGTCAATTGGTAATTGTACTACAATTTGAAATGAAACTACCGGACACATTACAAGATTCTAGACAAAAATTAAATTTATTTCAGCTTCTTACAATTACATATTTACAACAACATAAGAGCTATTTAATGACCATTATAAATAGAGCACACATGAGAATTGTCCAATCCTGCTTTACACCGGTCGCCTTGTTGCATCCGTCTGATTTACATTCGCAAACTCGCGAGTAATGTATGTTGCCGAACTTGGACTGTTCACACCTGAGCGGTTCCGTGTACACATACGCACATTCTCTTATCACCGTGATGTCTTGGCCAGGTGTAAAGTAATTAATTTGAGACAGCAACCGACACACGGGCCGCCCTTTGTGTTCGCTGCAGTCTTTCAAATGTGTGCGGTGCAAATTATACGTAAAACAACCTCGATCCTGTGTCGACGAACACTGATAACATTTTAGGCACGTCACTTTACACATCATGGAAATTAGAAACGTAACTGATAGGATTATGTTAGTTGAGTAACATTTCATTTTATATACGTTGAATTGACGGCTCGTCCATCGCCCATTGCGTTGACATTTCCAAATTTGAAATACGTCAAACTTCTAGGTTTCCTTTTTTGTGTCAGATTCCTTTTCCAATATGCCACCTTCTTTGTTGTCTATACCTAGTACGAAAGTTTAAAAACAGATTTACCAAATAGTTTAATCGACTTTTCATTCACATGAAAATGTAATAGACACTTTGACACCACCTATACTACAAAGTAGTTTTAGTGGATTTTTCAGCATTCTATTTTTCATATCATTATAAAGACGTTACATCGCTTTATAAAGAGTAATTATTACAAGAAATGGTTATATAGACTAGGTGTACACACCCCGTTAGCCTTTGCTGCTAAGCAAACTTGCGTTCTCATATCTGAAATGCCATTAACAGTTTTGTAAGAGAAATTTTCTCTTTATTATAACAAAAAAAAAAAAAATAAGAAATATTAAAGTGGTTGAAATGTTAATATTATGCTAATGTCCACTACAATAATTTTCAGGCAACCTCACCGGTCGCGCCGCCTAACGCCCCTAACTCTGGGAAATCGCAAACAAAGAGCGAGAAGCGTAGCGGCAACACGTTGTACCAAGAGCTCGCTTTCCAGGATGTGGATCCGGGCATTGCCGAAGGCGAAGACGCTGATATCACAGGTAACATACCGCATGACTCATGCCCCTTTAAATACGACGTGAGACCTTCTAAGCACATGTATTATAGTAGCCTGTGATAAAAATTGCTCGTCGGGCTATGGCAAGAGGTGGCCAGTCCGTCGCGTGTACTGCTCATGATTATGACCAACTAAAACTAGTCGATAACCTTCCTCGAATCATAAACAGTTAGCAGAGTCAATAATATTTATTCAAACTAAACCATTATACAGGTACTTATTCACAACACCAAATGTTAAACAGGTAAAAACCAGTGTGCTTGTCAAGGGCGAGGAGTTGAGTCCTGTAGATACAACTGTCTTTTTAGGTATAACCCTGGACGCTAAGCTCCAGTGGGGCCCTCATATAGATGGCTTGTCGAAGAAGCTCAGTTCTGCAGCATATGCCGTTAAAAAAATTAGAAATTTAACAGATGTAGATACAGCGCGGTTAGTTTATTTTAGTTATTTCCACAGCATCATGTCATACGGTATTTTGTTGTGGGGGAATGCTGCTGACATTCAGTCTATTTTTGTTCTGCAGAAAAGGGCTATTCGATCAATCTATAATCTTAGTCCGAGGCATTCGCTCAGAGAATTATTTAAGGAAACTAAGATAATGACGGTTGCCTCACAATATATTTATGAAAATGTAATTCACGCTCATAAAAACAAAAGCTTATTTAAGAAGCATAGTGATATACATAATATTAACACGAGGGGGAAAAACAAATATGTTGTCCCTGCCTCCAGGCTTCAGAAAATAACTAGTTCGTTTAGATGCCAATGTATACGCTTTTACAATAAAATTCCTAGCGATATTCAAAATTTGAGCCTCAATAAATTTAAAAGTGTAATAAAGGCTAAACTTTGCTGTAAAGCATTTTATAAAATAAAAGACTACTTGGAGGATAGTCAGGCATGGGAATGAGCCGCTGTAATGTCTGCACAGGTCATGTTGACATGTTTGTAACATAAGTTACACTTTTATATACAATTTGACATTACGTTTATTTTTTATACAATGACATAATCACCTATTGTGATATTTTATTTTTTATTTGACATTTTTTTTTTATTTATTTATTGACATTTTTATTATTTTATATTATTGTTAGTGTAAGGACCGTGTGAGACTTGCCGTGCTTTTTGATTACCAGTTATCTGCGTTCTGACAGTTTGAGTACTTGCGCGACCCACCCAAATGTTCTTTAGATCGGTATTGTTCGTCGGACAACTCAGCAGCACTAGCTATACTGGTTGCAAACTGACACTTGCGTGCCTGTCTTCAGAACGGGTCCACTTAAACTGGTGTGGTTCTTTCCTCAAAAGACCACTACAGAATGAACTTGCACGATTCTCTCACATTATGTTATTTTTACATTGTCTGGACTTGAAAAGAGACTGACCTCTGAGTTTGTTTCGGCATTTCTTCTCAGAGTAGTCAGATAGGAAATGCCGGCTTCATCTAGTTTTTCACATATAAATTGACGTGTAAAAGTGCCGTTTTATGGCCTATTTGCAAAAATAAATTCATTGTTTCATTGTTTCATATGAAACGTCGAAATAGTCCGACAGTCCGTTTGCCAGTAAAGCTAGGTGCACAAAGAAATGATCGTAATATCACACTAAAAAGTCTTATACCAAACTGCGATAATCATCGTCGTGTAATCTCAGTGAAAAAAATGTATAGATAATCGGCTCATTATTGTTTAATAAAAAGTAAAAACGTTTTGAAGTTCAAAAGTTCTTAGTAACCCTTAAGTGCGCCTATTTTACTAAGAACAAGTTAGCATATTCTGAAATTGCGTGTAATAAATATACGGGCTGTCCACTTGCCGCTAGTACATATTATACCGCTTATTATGTCATCTAAAACCAATACTGTACATGAATGTGTAGGTACTCTGACTACAAGCGTGTACTGAAGCGTCACGAGATTGCTTATTCGAACCGATGAACAGGTGCTAGATCTTTGTTTTGTTTCATTCGTGCCTCATAAGATACTCGCAGTAATCGACAATAAACGTATCCGATGCCGATCTAATTTATCTTATTACCTGTTATTCTATGACTAAGACGAGAATACAAAAATTTTGTTGATTGGTTTTTTAGTCGCCCAGTTAGTAGAATATAAGCAAATATCATGTTGGTTAGTATGTCTTGCAAGCGATGTGTTTTCTATTTTATTAAGTATATAATATAATGTTTATTTGGAATGACGAAATATAGGAAATCTAAAGAGCACTTACTACTATTTCCCTAAGGGCGTCGTCATTCTTTTTCCAACCCAACCATGTTTAAAAATATCACAAGTTATATTAACTTATTCGCTCCTAATATTGTCATCTGTGCATCACCTAAAGGTGGAATGTTAGACAATGCTAAGGAAAAAAGACAACCATGTTTTTACAAGTTGTATGTTCATATTCACATTGTGCAGTATAGTATTCGACTGTTTACAGGTAGTTGGGTGCATCCTGGCGAATATGCATCTTCTGGTAAGTGCTTCAGCTATATGTTTGCTAATCATCCATATGGGCAAACTATAAGCATTAACTTAGCATTTTATATTCGCAGTTTGGTCTAAGTAAATCATGTCATATATGTTTTCTTTGAAACTGATATCACAAACTATACATATAACTTTCGAAATTAATCAAACATCCTTCTATTTTAAATGACTATGATTGAAGAATATGGAATGCTTAAGTATAATGAAATCTGTTTGTCTAATATAGTCCGTTTTCTAAAACAACAATAGCAGCTTATCTCTATATACCCATTTAATAGAAGCTTTTTATATAACTGCTTTTGAAAACTAAAAATATAATAGGTATTTTAATTTCAGAGAGTGTCACGTTAATATAACATTTATACCTACACATGTGACGGTTTCGAAGTATTTTTATACTAACTTTATGACATTCAGTTGGTACCAGTTTTTATTTCAGCTTTTTAAATTCAATATAGTGATGGATTATAATTTATATGCTTTTTATTAATTTGCGTATCCCTATATGGTTTACATTGTATATGTTACGCATATTCACGATATATGATTTTATAAAATTGACACTGTACTGTTATCACAGCATATTTATTGTTTTTAATGTTTTTCCCAATACAATAAATTAGCAGGGATGATGAGAAATACTGAATATTTAAAAAAATAATAAGAGAAAAAATATAAGAGCCGTACCATATTGCGAAATAAAATAAATACGTTTGTATGCTTAATTAAATATAAAAGACAGACGTGTAAGTTATTGACTGTCGACAGATAATAGCTGTGGGCAATTCCTCTCCTAGTGTGGCCCACGTGTTGTCCTCAATGGCATAAAACGTATTAAAATAGAAAGTAGAAAAAGTAAAATTAACTTCTATTGGTCCCTTTAGAAACATGAACATGAGTAATGAAAATGGATTCTGAACCCACATTTCATTATTCTATACATCTATAATTTTATTTCTATAGTATACCTGTGATAAAAGCACTGTTGTCCATTATTTGTAAATATAAAACCCATATTATAATATATTCGTACTATCCTTATATCCTTACACAATACGCCACTGAGTTCTTTTTTGTTTCTTTTTGGAAATTATTTGCTATTATTTCCATTTATGTTCTATGTATGGTTCTGAACATGTTTAATAAGTTGCTGTATTGAGTATTACGATGTTGTTGCTTTTGATGTTGAAAGACCCAGCTTCTAGAAAGTTCTATAATAAAAAATATTTTAATTGAACTTCTAGAAACTGTAGGTAAATAAATGTAACTAAACTGATTTAACACGTTTATGCAAGTTTTGTTGTATTAATCTATTTTAGCTTGATATAGATGTTCACTTAAAAACAGAAATATAATTAAGTATAAGTAAAGGCACGTTTCTTAATCAGATGAATAAACGATGAAAAGATGTCATATTGCCTTTTACATTTTAAAATTATTTGTTTAACTCTAAACTGAATGTATCTTTGTTGCTATAATATTATGAAAATAGTAGAGTATTGTAGAATATTTGATGAACAGAATGCTTGCATAAACGAATAAAATCATAAATGTCATATCAGTTATGCCTATGAACATACAAAGAGCTATCAGAAAACCAGTAATTAAGAAAGAAAGTAGATCATAGCATATTAATTGTTGCATTTTTTTGTCTACTTAAAGTGGCGTCGTGTGTGAGCATTTTAACTAGTTTTCTTTATTAATAAATTTTCATACAATACTAATAACTGTACGTTCTATTTCCATGCGTTCTAACAAAATGTTGCATCAACGCATGATTGCAGTTAACGACAATTACTTTGGTAAGTAACTTGTAAAATATCAACTGATTTTCACTAATACTCTTTAAAATTTCACTAAAAAAATCGAGTTTTTTTATAAAATATGACCTCACACACTACGTCGCATTTAGTTGCAATATATACAGCCGTATAGACGTATCTTTGTTAGAGAATTAGTGTTCCATTTATGTTGACGCGCTCAAATTGTTGTTGCTAACGCATGCGGCGAAGTGTGTGAGGGGCCTAACGATTGCTTGCGATTTCCAAAGCGCAAGATGCAAGTAAGTAAAAGATTTGCATAACTGTTTTCATTTTTGACATAAACAGAGGAAGGAGATAATAAAATATAACAATTTCCGTATCATATCAGATCTAGAGCACTTAGCATTGCCAAAGAAATTTAAAAAAGAAGGTCGTAAAGTTCTAATTACAGCACTCGCTTTAAAATAACATTAAATCTATGTAACACGAAACTTGAAACTAAATGTACTCCAACAGGAATGGGGAAAGAAGTTGAAAATCTTATTCTTGAAAACAACGAGCTGTTAGCCACGAAGAATGCATTGAACGTTGTGAAAGATGACCTCATAGTGAAAGTAGACGAAATGATGGGCGAGCTGGAGATCCTGAGGGAGGAGGTGGCGAACCTCAGCTCCGCCAGGGAGAAGTTGCGTAACAGGGTCACCGAGTTAGAAGAGGAAGTGAGGCATTTGAAGGTAGGCTGGATTTCAATCGATTTTGCAAGTTGATCAAAGAATGGGAATGGGAACGATAAGAGTTTCATATCTTAAGACTTCTTTACATCTAGTTGAATAACTATTATCAAAGTGTAAAACGTATCAATTTTATTTAAATGCCCAAACTTAGAATATTTTGTGGAATCGAAAAATTTTAATAATTTATTTGTGAATGAGTAAATTCCAAATAAAAGATTCTCGAATAATAGAAAAAATACATAGAAAGCATGTTATACCTACAATAACCTTACTAAAATTAAATTAATTATCTCAATCTTCTCATTATGTTTTTGTAAGCAGTGTTGTTTAGTTGAGCGAGTTTGTGACAGGAGACGGTTAGCTCGAACGCGGGCAGTGGTGACAACAACGAGGATGAAGCCGACGTACCAATGGCGCAGCGAAGGCGTTTCACACGCGTCGAGATGGCACGAGTTCTAATGGAACGCAACCAATATAAGGTTAGCTGGTCCTATTGTCCTATTACAGGCCTTAATCTTTAAGCTGATACTCCAAAACCTTACGTGACCATGTTTGTCATGTGTAAACTGCAGTGTTTCCTAAAAACTCTTTTGGCGTGTGGCCTAGTCATTTTTGCACTGCTTCTATATGACCTACTCAAAATTTAAACCTTAGCTTATTGCGTTTTGTAAAATATTTATTCTATAGTAATTAGTGTATTATTTTTATTTACTGCAAAAATTTAGGAATTGGTTAGAAAAATGTATGGATCTCAATAGGTTTACTTTTTTTGTGTTGTTGGAAACTATCTTTGAGTAATAGAGAAAGTAAACCTGGGTTGAAACTTTTCTAGTTCCTTGTGAAATAGTTACGTGGGTTTTAAGGCGAAAATGTTGCGAGCACGCTAAATTTGAGACACGCGTTCTTGAATATATTTATAGATAATATAATAGAATATATATATTGATAATATTTATACGAATGCAATGTTTGACATGATGTGTTGGTTTTATATTACAGGAACGTTTCATGGAACTGCAAGATGCCGTTCGCTGGACTGAGATGGTGCGAGCAAGTCGCGTTGATTCCACCGTCGACAAAAAGAACAAACAGACTATTTGGAAACTTTTCAGTAACCTTTTCAGGTAAATATTGTGTTGCATTGTTGTTGATACGACTGTATCACATACTAGTGTAACACGAATTAAAAAAATAATGAGTTGCTCGGACTTATACACCATATTGAGTAAGCTTTCGTCTTTTTTTAAAAAAATATAGAGATTGGATCTTTGAAGATAAAAAGTAAACATACCATGAATGACGCCTGTTTTTCCCTTAAAGAATCCGCTCTGCGTATCACACTAAGCAACTTAGAATTTAATTGTACTGCCTAGCGAAATGAATGATATGCCAATTACTGCTTTGCGTGTTACAATTCCGATTTCTGTGTGGAATATAATATACATGATTTAATTGCTAAATAAAAGGTTAAGCTTTTAATATATAATTGGGTAGTTTCCTGGGTCAAAAATAAATTAATTCGACGTTCAATACAATAAAATATTGATAAATAACTATACTTTTATTCATCGATCGATACACTAAGTTTTATATTTTTTTTAGCTAATTATTAACAAATAAGTAAGCTATTTGACGCAAAAATGTTATGACGTCATAACTCAGTTTTTCATACAAATTTCATAGAAATTATCGTTTTTGACGTTTGGATAAAAGTATTGAATTTGACTAGTTGGAAACTACAGTATTGTACTACGTGTTCTGAAACTCGCGCCTGTACATGACTGCTGTGCTGTTTTATAATGTGCGTAAAACTATTTTATGATTCTGTTATCTGGCTTGGCGTAAAAGCAAAAATAAATACCAATAAATGATTCTTCGTTATAAAGTTTTGACATACTTGCAAAAAATATAGCTTGCGTGTGAAAAACGTAATAATACATTTCACTTAAATTAAAGTTGTTCAACGGGCCTCTGCGAGTTGGCTTCGGCCCCTCGTACGCCTTCCAAAGGTCCGGGATCCTGTGATCCCGTGAACGGAAAAGAACATTCATATAATACCAAATATTTTGAAATGTGTGTTAATTTTAATGTAACGTTTATATTTTGACAGTTATGCTACTTATGCTGGCTTTGCAACTTATCGATCTTGAAGCAATAGTACGTTTTTGCTGTAACACATGCATTGCGATTATAATTCATATTTTATGTTACTGCTATTTTGTTTCTTGCACTTGCCAAATTAATTATGTGTGTGCTAATCGCGTTTGGCAGTTTTATTATACTTTATTTTGAAGCCATCACTCACGTATTTATAATTACAGCGATAGTTGTTTAATTTTGTATCTGTCTGTTGCGAATAGTTTGGCGTAATTAAGGTTGTTGAAGATTTTTATTAATTTATTTTGGCTCATTATTTTTTCGTGTAAGCTCTGGCGATGAAATGAAGGTACCTATGCAGATGTATGGACCTATATTATAATTTTGTTAAGATAAAAAGATTGAGTCTTTAATAAAACTATGCATACTCAAATAAAATATAAATATTCGTAGTGACCCGGAGAAGCCTTAAACTTCTCACACATGAGGGTGCAGGTTCGAAACCTTGAAAATGTGACATTTCCGAGTTATATGTGGTTTCTATGATTATATGGTAACCACTGACGTACGGTGAAGATGGAGGAAACCTGAACTCATAATTTCCAACCACCATTTTGAAATCGCCAATCAGTATTGAGCAAGCGTGGTAATTAATTTACGGATTACCTGATGGTAAGTCGGCACTGCCGCCCATGGACACCCGCAACGGAGGTGTTACGAGTGCGTTGCCGACCTTTTAGGGATTAGGGATTTGGAGATTTAGGAACTGGGGAGGGATTAGGGAAGGGGAAGGATTGGGCCTCCGGTAACCTCACTTACACGGCGAAACACAACACTGTGGTTGTTTCACGCCGGTTTTCTGTGAGGCCGTGGTATCACTCCGGTCGAGCCGACCCATTCGTGCCGAAGCATGGCTCTCCCACACTTAAACCTTCTCCCGTTTCGAATGTGACGTCATAAACATTTGTATGTATTCGTGTACAAATTATTTGATCTACAAGTTAAGCAGTAAACATCTGTCTGCTATTGATATTGAAAGAATTGCCTGCATTTGCAAAATAAGCTAAAAAATATTTTGTGCTTGCGTTTTCGGTAATAGCCCATATATATTTGACCTGAATATTGTATATCGGGCGCATTACACAGCCGCCATCGACGTGGCCCATTAAGGTCGATCCCCTTTCGGTGTTGCGGGGTAAGCGCAATAGAAAACCGCGACCTTACTAGCAGACGGAACTGCTGGTTTTAATTTAGTAAAAGTCTGAGATTCCTTTCGCCCCAACCCGGTACATAGTACACTAAATATATTGTCCACCTATCAAAAAAGCAGATGAAAAAGAGTTTTTTATTTCCACCTCTCAAAAATGAGTTGAAAATGAGTCTTCATATTATTATTTTGGACAGTATATCTTCGGATTTATAATGCCATAATTTTATCTGTTACTTTCTATTATTTTATTGTGGTTGACTGACTGAACGGAATGTCTGTTTTTTATAACTCTGCTTATATATAAGCTTTCTGAAAGTTGTCCTCGAGTCTTTTATAAAAATAAAACTGTTTGTTGCGATGAACAAAATCACATATATATAATATATTTTGTGTGAATAGGGATTATTAACGCGTTTTTTTAACATCCTTCTGAAAATGAGGAAGAGCGATATGAATTGCATAAAAATCAGTCTTTAATTTATAATTCACTATATTACGAATGTTTATGGTTAAATTTAAAGCGAATTTGTTTATATTTCAATAACGTTATTAATCTCCATGCTAAAGAGGTCGCATATGCTATTGGCAGGTTTAGCTGCGCTATAATAACCGCAATGCTGATCAATAGTGCATACGCTTGCTTTGTGTTTGAAAAACAGCGAAAGACGTATAAGATTCATTCTTATAATTAAATTATTCCTCTATGCTATATAGCTATCTTTACATCCAATCTCTTTGTAGTATTCGATGGGGAAAAACAGGCGTTATTATATCTAAAATCATAAAGTGATAAGTCGTGTTTACCCCGAAAAAAAAACATTAGTTTCAATTGGAACACCGTCCTTTGTTGTAGTACCAGCGAACGTCCACAACGTCCTCTATCGACGCCTCATATTCGCGCGGTAGCGGCGCCGCAACCCGCGCTGCGTCATTCGAGGACACAAGCTGACTTCTTCGAAACTCAGCTGACTGACCATCATCACGCGAGACGCCATGAAAGAAGCGAGCAGTTCCGTCAGGTATGTCTAGAATCCTATTACCCTTGGCTTCTGAAAGGATACGTTTGATACCATATAAGGAGTATTATTTCATTTTGCTACCTTTAGATGCCAAGGGAATTACAGCTTTGCCTAACATTTAGCGATGTTTGGCAGGGCTGTTGGATACGTAGCATGACTAGACCACGTCCCTTTATATTTGATTCATATTATATAGTATGCGAATGAGTTTATCTTTTACTTTTACTAAAACAAGAATAAAATATTTATAACAGTATCGTTGGCAACAAATAATCACGAATGTGCAGTCTGCGCACTTATTTTGTATTACTGACACAAAGAATAATTGTGCAAAAAAATTTGACTTACATTTGACAAAAACAATATCTATAGTTACACTAAATTATACGTATTTTAATGACCACATCTGCTCTGATAATGATTTTTACAATGGTTACTACTTCATACCAAATAATCAGGCGAAAAAAACGTTCAGAAAACGATACTAAAACATTTTTAATTGAATAGGATTAATTGGATAATTCTTTTTTACTATGCCTTTTCGAATTTTCAGTAAGCCTACACGATTTATTCTTTAAGATGCGTATAACTGATATATAGTTATTTTGCCAAAGTTATTAAAAAAATCATGAACTCGTGCGCGTGCTATATAAATGAAATTCAAATGATCAGACTTTTCAAGGAAGCAAATATCTTTACTTATAATTAGATCTAAGATGATGTCACCTATATAGAATAATGATTGAAGAAAGCATTAATAATTGATTACACTTCTATTGTTTTGCTTCCTTGATTAAAGAAAAGGGGCATCTGGGTCTGAATGTGTTTACTGATAATAAATCGATTGATACATTCATAAACTTGCATTGGTCTGTATAAATAATACTCACTGGTACGTTAGTTACCTTTACATTAAAAATGTACTTAAACGTTACTTTAAACTTTATTTGTACAAACCAAACGTCAAGAATTCTGCCGCTGTATATATCCTGTGCTGTTCCCTATATTCTATCCAAAACTATAAATATATGTTTATGTATTATAATATATAAAGGGCTGGACTCTTTTCTAAGCTTTTATTCTATACATTGTATCTTTATAGCTGCCTTAAAACGATAACCATTTTTAAACAAAATGTCTCCTGAAAAGAAAAAATCACAAACAAACAAAAATCTTATACCTTTTAATTACTCTTAAAAAATATAAATGCGTTAGGGCTGATTTTTCAATAGCCAGATGAATATTATCTGAGGAATAAAATTGTTGCTGTCACTGTCTTATACAAACATTCTAAAGCGACAGCATCATAATTATTCCCCAGATAACTTTTATCTGACCATTGAAAAATCAGTCCTAAAATGTTTTTGCTATGACTGGTTACTCATTACACATTGATTTATTATGAACTGCAGTTGTAAGATAGCTAAAAATTCACAATGTTTATCCTTCGTGACTTTTATTTATGTTTATCTATCTTATACGCTTACCTTTATTTTAATCTCATATGTTTATGTGTGTATTTATATATTTGCACGTTTTTTTAACATAGATACGTATTCGCTATACATATGCCACCTCGATTTCGTCATGTTACAAAGTATGAGACAAGATACATCGTATGTAGGTAATTTACGAAAATATAAATCAATAGTGAGTGTTCAGTGGTATAAAATTAAAAGGTTATTTGTATAGTGTTTTTTGAAGTTGTTCTGTATATAATTTGAGTCTTTAGATTTTTCAATTTTGTATAATATTGACTACGTTTTATTACGAGACATTTATAATACAGGGGTTTTCGCCTTCACTGTTATCCATTAAAAGCAATATCATGAGCGTTGCTTATATAAACATTACTGTGAAAGTTTTAACTGAAGCACAATATTAGTGAACCGCGCTGAAATCGAAGTAAAAAGCTTTTGAAACGAAATGCAAGATTCATATGTTTCTACATCTAACATTTCGAACACTACTTTATTCTTATAGTGAAGACACGTTTCGTTTCCAATTTTCACTGCTAGTAGTTCACTCATCCGCGTAGTAAGCTAGCCATCACCAAAGCTTCCAGACCTATCGCCGACGCTTATCAGTTCACCCGACCATCCCATCATGTGTGTTGTTACCTCTCGTTGTGTGTGCCAACATAACCCCAGTGTTCTGTTTGTGTTTTGTTTTCATTTCTTCCTCTCCCTGTACCTAATTTTCCTCTCCTTTCTTTTGTTTACAGCAGAATCAATGACGGCACGATTTCAACTTTATTGAACAGTGCTAGTGACATTAAGTGATACTAGAAATAGGCATGTGTATAGTGTTATTACGTATTTATAGTTATTTTTTAATTTAATCCCTAATTAAATATACGTACGTTTATATTTGTGTTTGTTTTTACCCGCTTTTCCTTGGAATTCCTGCTTATTTGTATGGGTATGTGAGGCTGGGTTGATATCGTACACATGTGCGTGTGTGTGCGTGTAGGTGCGGGCTCATGTTCGCAAAGAAGACGGGCGCACCCAGGCCTACGGTTGGAGCCTGCCGAGCAAGAGCGGCCAGGGACAGAAAGGCCCCAGCTCATGCACCTCACTGTCTTCTGGCGGGGTCCCTGTACCCGTGCCAGTATTTTGCAGGTCAGTAGCAAAACTACTATTTATATGCTTGTGTACGTCATATTTTCTTCTGAGTACAATTTCTTTGGAGTGCGTATTTCAATTACACATACATATAGATAACTTCTTCATCGAATTTAATATTTGTAATATATATAAATAGTTCGATATTAGAAATATCTGTCTTCAAAAGGTTTAGTAAATCTCGCATATTTCAGACCCATAGCAGAAAACGAACCTCGTATGACACTGCTGTGCGCTGCTGCGGTCAATCTGAACGGAGGCCGAACTCCAGACGGTGGGTGTATGGTTGGCGAAAGCGTCTTCTATGCGAATCCTGAAGATAAGACTGAGAACACCATGTCGCTTGGTAAATATAACTCTATCGATGAATCGATCTATACGACAAATAAGCATAACAACAACTTTATGCTGAAATAATTTATTTATGGCTTACTCATATATCGCGTTGATCGGATCATGGCCGTCGTTTCGTAGGACTAGTAATTCGGAGGTTCTGGCGTGACTTAAATCAGTCATATCACCTCATTAAATGTTGAAGTGAGTAAATCACAACACATAGTTAATGATATATTATTATGTCTTTCGAGAATCGTACTAAAAATATAAATTCTCTGTGATACGTGTCTATTAAAATTTCTTATTTAGTATTAGAATATATCAAAATACTTACGCTGATGTCTATTTCATAAGCTTTGTTGTCCCAGTCATCTTGCTGAGCATCGGACATAACTCAGGTTTTAATAAAGCACAGGGCACAAAATGCAGCTCTTTCCATTATTTTATGGAATGAAAAGTATTCACACACAGTAGTCCACAGCTACCCACACCCATAACCATTTAAAATTCTACCATATTGCATAATAGTTCTGCATGAACCGAAGATTGTCTTCGGATGCACTTGCCGGCTGATGTTCCATCATATTTAAATTAAAACCGTTCAACGGGAGTCTGTGAGTTGGCTTCGGCCCCTTGTACGCCTAAAGGCCCGGGATCCTGTTAATCATAAATAAATGTATTTAATCCAGTTTGAAATCTTGTATTACTATCATTATTACTATTATGAAATAGTTACAGAGCTATTATGGAATTTTGAAGACAATGCATTTTATTGCGAACTAAATAGTCTTAAATATCAAAATTTGTTATAGCGTACGAGATGAACAAAGCTCAGTCGGTGCATTCGCCAGAAGTGGAGGAAATAAACCAACAGCTGCAGTCCACGCAGAGTGTCGAGTATACAGAGAAGAATTTATCATCTCTCGTTTGGATATGTTCTAGCAACCAGAATAAAGGGATTGTTATGGTAAGATTTAAGTACCTATTTTGTACTTACTATTATGTCAAACCGCTAATTCATGGCTGTATAGTTGATTTGATGTTTATAAATGCAGAAAGAATACGTCTTAACACACAATCCCATAGAAATTCGAATTGACAATTTGAAAAAGTGTTGAATTTGAGTAATTGTCAAGTATGAAATTATTGACCCTCATCTTGCTAGTAACAAGGTTCGATTGTAAATATACAACCGTTCCGGCCATGGATTTAAAAAGAAATGTGGCTCGGTTATAATAGATACTATATAATAATTTAAAAGAGAAAGCAATCTATTGCCAGATTATATTTTATTACTAAGAATCTAAAAGTCTTAGGAGTCCAAGTTCTTCACCACACTTGTATCAATTTATCAACACCAACTATACTATTGTATTGTTTCAGATTATCGACGCGAACAATCCGGCGGAGGTGATAGAATCGTTCCCTGTGACTGACAAACATATTCTGTGCGTCGCGTCTGTGCCGGGTGCCGTCGCTGAAGACTATCGAGACTACCAGGAGAGAGCCGCGGGTGCAGTTGACAAACGACACTCGGTAAATAATAATATTAGTTAATAGTACTTGCAAAAGGTGTAGGATTTTAGGTAAAAATCTATAACTAGATCTACAACAAATGTATATTATATCGTATTTTCTAGCTAGCATAGACGTTATGGTATCGATCGGTACTTACATGCCGACATAGTGCATTTAATGTTCGTTAAAGTAATAGTAATAACTAACGAATATTGTTTTGGTCTTTATATTATATATGAAGGCACCGGGGGGTTGGTACAAACATCAACATCCCGATCATCGTCTTCACAGTCCATCGCAGGGCGTAGGATTTTATAATCAGGCCGAATAAATTACAAAAATAATGGAAGTCGGCGATCTGTCTCCTATGACAGTCACAGCGCTCGCTCTCCACCATAATGCTCACGCAGAACTGTCAGTTTGACGTTCCGCCAGAGTACGATTCATTGTACCCTCGTCCATGAATTGTGATAAAACCTCCTTCAAAATTCAATTTAAATAATAGACGCTCCGACATATAAATAACATAAATAGCCTTTATTTAACAATTTCGACATACAGTCAGTATCAATAGAAATGTTTTTTTCCAAAGCTGAATCATTTACGCTGCATTATTTCCAAATCGTCTTTGTAAAGTAGTCCGATATTTAATGAGTATATTGTCAAAGATTGCTGATGGAAGTATGTTGTTTTTAGAGATTGTGTTTCAAACTGTGAATGTTTGGTTGTTACAGTATATATTCAGTTCCGGCAGGGTAGATTCTGTTGACGTACACAATAAACCCAGTGTTACTGACGAAAACGGCGACTCAGACTCAGTTGTCGTTGGAGCGACACGATTAGTAAGTTTCCTATAATTATAACCTTTTTGTAAGCTTTTAGAATACATTGTCGAGGGCATTACCTCGTCTCCTAGTTTGCCGACATGAGCATAATTAAATTTAACTATGCTGACGTCGGCAAACTCCATATGAAATCAGCCGGTCGATTTCGATTTTGATGATCGTTCTGTCTGTCTGATTATAGGTAGTTTGTGTATTTACTATTTTCTGACGCTTCAGACAGTCGGCCAATGAATATAAGTACCAACTATGATAAAATGTATACGTATAATTATTAAAACCTTCAGGTAAAAGCAACGATTCTGACACCGCCGAGCACTCCAGTGAATGAGCCCGAAACAGCACCGGAACCTCAAAATCAAGAGGCACCCAAAAATAACGAGGAAGCCGATTTTGTACACCCCGATAGCCCGCCACTTAGCTCTACACCTATCAATGGTAAGCATACTTTTGAGTGTAAACATGTATGTGACATTTAAATTGTTTTTGTTTTAATTGCACACGGTTACCATGGTATAATAATAGTCAGCATACAAGTACACTTGGTCTAGATTAAATAATGTAAACGTTTCACTTATCTTCGAACTTAAGCTACTGGTTGGATGCAACGACCAACTCGGTAGCCGAGTAGCGAATATTTGAGCTTAGCCCCACGAGCCTAGCTAACTAAATAGTTTATTAAAATATTAGGTAAATAGTTAAAGTCGTTTTATTATATTACGCGATGTTTGCGTAAACATAACATTTCTATAAGACATTTCTATTTATTACTCCTAGGAGGACTTTTGAATTCTCCTGAGCCAGGGGTTGAAGCGTTTGCTCAACAACAATCTAAGACAGAAACTCAACCCGAACCGGAACGCAAGATGTCAACTGTTATGGCGACCATGTGGCTAGGCACCAAGAGTGGCAACCTCTACGTACACTCCGCAGTTGGAAACTACAAAAAGTGCTTAGCTAGGTAAGAATATTTGGAATAATTATGAATTTCCTAATCTGAGACCAATAAAGCGATGTACGTATTTTTCTGCACGTCTCTTGAAACTCTTTTTTTTCTCCCAGTTTAAAAAACATATGGGCTTGAAAACCGTAACAAAACATTAATTTACGCAATATACGCTCGAAACTAAAATATTAATCAGTAAACTTGTTACATATCATAAAGGTTGTTCCTGATAAAATCCTTGTTTATTTTGCTGTGATTTATAGGAATGTGGAATAAATATGTCGAATGATTTTAATTTATTGTATTACAGAGTAAAGCTAAACGACGCCATATTAGCGATAGTGGCTTGTGCCTCCCGAAGTATTGTAGCGCTCGCTGATGGCACTGTAGCAATATTCTCGAGACACGCGGACGGACAGTGGGACTTTGGACAGTATTGGTTGCTCACACTCGGGGATCCTAAATGTTCTGGTAAGTTCATTTATAAGTATTCACTTATTAAAATTAGATTTTGGTTTTGTATCTTATTATTATTTAGACTCGGTGTGTTAATTAATTTATGCAAGCTCACTCCTGGTTATATAATGTTGAAAATTGGAATAAATTTAATATGAACTGTTTCCCTTCATTAGACAAACAAAGCATTTTGGTATTGGTATTATGTTTCTAGTTCGCTGTTTGAGCGCCGTGGGTTGCACTGTGTGGTGCGGTTACCGCAACAAGGTGCACGTTATAGAACCTCGCTCACGTTTGTTGCTGCATTCGCTGGAAGCCCATCCGCGGCAGGAGAGTCAAGTGCGACAGATGGCCTGTGATGGCGACGGAGTCTGGGTAAGTAAAAACTAAAGTTACAAACAACAACTACACTCAAACTTATTAAAAAAGAAATTGAACAGATCTAAGGTATTTTCTGTGAAGTTATCAGCGTCATCTCACCATGTTCTGATACGTCACATTAGGATCTTAGTATGTTTCGCAGGGACCACAACAACGACCTCGTCGTTGAGGTGGTCCTTGAGTAATCAAGTAAGTAGAGACTTACATTCTGAATTACTTTACATTATGCTTACAGTTTTATTTCATTCGAATACTTTTATTTTGCAAACATTATTGAAGTGAATACAATAATTATGTCAACTTTTTACTTGGAATGTACTACAATGTTTTGAATTATCAGGTTTCAATCAAAATGGATTCCACCCTGCGTTTGTATCATGCACATACGTACCAACATTTGAAGGATGTTGATATTGAGCCGTATGTGAGCAAAATGCTGGGCACTGGGAAACTTGGCTTCTCGCTAGTCAGGATCACGGCTCTGTTGATTAGCTCAGGGCGGCTCTGGATCGGTACAAGTAACGGAGTTGTGATATCAGTACCACTCTCAGAAGGTTCTAGTCGAGATTCCATCGGACCACAGCCGTCGACCTCAAGATCGCCTGCCCAAGGTAAGTGAATGATGAATGACGGATTTCTAAATTGAATCGCAAATCAATTAATTTGTCTCATAGTACTTAACTCATATACTTTTTGCAGCCGCCATAGCCGCCTGTCCGACTGGCAATATCCCGTGGTGTTCGATGGCTCATGCCCAACTAAGCTTCCATGGACATCGTGACGCCGTTACTTTCTTCGTAGCAGTGCCCGGAGTGGCTGGATCCCCCGCACGCACTCCTGAATCTCCCCGAAGGCACTCGCCGACCATACCACCCATGTTGGTAATATCTGGTGGCGAAGGATATATTGACTTCAGAATAGGTATGTGCCATTTTCTTTATAATATGGTCAATGTGTTTAGGCCTTTTGCGTTCCATAAAAATACAAATTATCATTACCCAAACAATTTACTGCTACTCAATTTTCTTAACTTTAGTCAGCTAATAAGTAGTTTTAACGCAAACATTGTTTTGCAAGTGAACACTTAACAGCTACCTAACTGCCAACTAGTGGTTTCACACGATGGAGGACAAATATTTCAGTTGGTAAAACGTTCGTTTAGGGAATACAATACTTAAATTTAATTCTATTTTTGCGCAAAAATTGTAAACTTAATCTTTATTCGCTGACATGTTCTTCTATCACTGAACCTGTTTATTTCTCAGTAAACAGATTTCGGCAGTTGATCAAATAATTTTTGGTAGTGTGGATAGTGTGACGAGTGTTATAAACTAATGAGAATATTATGCGTACTAAAATTATAGCATTGGATGATTGCTACAATTTGTTTGGGTAGTGATAATTGTTAGGAGATAATGTTTATTAAGGAGGTTAGGAGATATTGTTTATTAATGTTTATTATTAGATAATGTCATTGTTTAAATTTGATTCCGTGTCAGATTCAATCTGTAATCTCTAATGAGCATCATACAATTTGCAAATTAATTACGAAATGATATTGGTATAAAGAGGGAGAATTCTTCTCTTCAAGTTTGTTCTAAAAATAATCTATATGATGTTGATTTATCTTGTGCTACGTTGATTAAAACTGGTAACACAAAAAGCTTGTCAATAAATCATCGAACAGATTGAATGTGATAGAACGAACATCCCATCCGTGAAGGCGATTCAGTCGTTAAAACCTCGAAACTGGTACTTGTCAAAATAAAACAATTTTCTTGGACAATTTGTAAAAAAAGTAACTAACTGACAATGTCACTAATACTTGTGTTAATGTTAGTAATCAAATCATTGCGTTGCTATTTAATCATGTTATCATTAACCAGCTAATTAATCTGTCATTGTTCAATTAAAATGTTTCATCGTGATGAGTGCGAAAGTGAATCAACAGTTTGTTGACATCTTAGACGACAAATTAACAGGTCCTAAGCAACCCATTACATGCCTTCAAAGTCATAAAAAATCAATAATGAGTCTGTTTTTATAACCGAGAAGATACCACAGAAATTAATAAGGCAGTTACATATTAAGTTAGACATATTTTACGCAATTCAGCCATTAAAAACTATCACAAATAAACGCCACACAAAATCATACTCGTAGAACTTAATACGCGTATTTCATTACAATGATCTGAGCTACATACTTTAACATATTTTAAACAGTAATTCATCAGGCATACAAATTAATAAATTAATTTGCAGATTGTTTCATGGATACTCATGCATTGTCTTGTAGATTTACTCTAGCCAAGGCACAGCCTAAGAATTATATTTTAACATAGATAAAAAATTATACGACACATGTTATCATACATATTTCATATGAAGTGGATTTGATAACACAATTACAAATCAAAATTAAAGTCACATAGTTAGCCAACATACCGAATTTTCTTATAAAGATAAAAGTGATAAAAAATGTAACAATTGAATAAAAGTGCACACGATGTCCATGAAACTCAATCATAAGCTAAAACAAGTGAAACAAGTCAAAACAAGCAATATGCACGTTAGTGTAGACACTCATCCCCATTAGTAAGCTTCGCTTAGTAATAGTAGAATTATTTAGTAATACGCTTGTACGCTTGTAAGCATAGACATAAGACTAGTTCTATTTAAACGTAGGAGTTTTATGATAAGGATTTGTGCCTATTGTTTGATTTGAATTTCAGGTGTTTTCTACTAAAATAGTGTCAATAGTGTCACAGATAATTGAGAAATAAATCAACCAACGGCTTTAGTAGAAAACGCTGTCTAAATAGGCATAGTAAAGTTAATGATTTTAATTTCCCCGGTTTTTTTCTTTTACCGATATAGAAGAGCATGCTGATGACATACGTGACACTGCCTCCCACCTCATTGTATGGCAAGTCTTAAGAGAGTCCTGAACGTACCTGAACGTAGCATAATTAATTTATATTTATTACTGGTACGTTGAATTTTAGAATAAAACCAGCATGTTCGCTTGCTGACACATAACACCAAAGCTAACATGAGCATGTAGTTCACGGTAAACATCGAAAGTGGGTCACGTTGAGGTTTTGACAGCTACATCACCAGAACAATTTAGTACATCAGTTCAATTAGCGTTCTCTTCGCCTCACTTTAATTCATTGTTCAGTTTAGAAGTTTGTAGGAAACAAATACTTATCCACAGCTCATAATTGCTGTTGTAAACTGTTTCTGAACAACCTATGTGTGACGTAAGCCATCCCTGTCAAGACCTCACTTCATATCATCAGTTCACGCATATCAGACTCATCCTAACTTAACATACCACCACTTAACCCATCACTAACATTGGTCATCGGTGTAACACTGTCCATCAGAAGGTGAGCACGATGTTACATAATTTGAGCTAATAAATTATGTATGTCTTAATATATTGCTAACGTGTATATTGCTAATACCAGTATCTATAGACGTGTAAATATTAACAGACGATATTTATAATTTGATGTATGTAAGTACTACAAAGTAGTTCTACGATACTTAACAACAACTTCGAATCTGTTACATCTCTTCGCTTAAACAACAAAAACTATGTGTACGTAAATAACTTAGTAATTCTGCACGATTACTGTTATTTTTAAATTTTGCCATGTTTTAGCTAAAATTTTGGAGATCAGCAGCAGGAATGGAGATTTTATAAGAAGTATACAGTTAGTTTATTATGCATAATGTGCAGACATTTTGATGGCTTTCTCACGTGTTTCTTAGAGTGTTTAGAGCACTTCGTTAAATACGTGTTAGAGAGCAATTTACTGTTGAAAAGACATATGAGCCGTCTTTTATTGTGAACATTATTTTGTTTCACTGCAATAGCACTACATGTTTTACTGTGCCATCATTTTTACACAATGCCATCGTCGTTTGTTATTTGGTTATGTGTTCTCTGTTACCATTTATTTTATAGACATGTCTCATACCCACACCCGAGGTGGTCAATGGTAAAAGCAGGTGCATATTTACATGTAACAAGGGGAACTTGTGATGGAGACTAGTATGACAACGATGATGTGTATAATAATGCGCAATTTATTTGACTTGCAGCCGACTCGGAAATGGAAGACAGTGTTGTAGTAGCGGAGGACGGGTCTTCAAGTGGACACAATTCTCTGGCCGATCGGGCTTCCAAGAGCCATTTGATAGTGTGGCAAGTTGCGACAGCCTAACGCAGGGCCAGCCGTGTGCGATTTGACTCCGATTCGGACTATGTGTATGTGTGTACGTCCACCAAACCAGCGACGCTCATCAACGCGTAAGTTACCTCGTGGATGTGAATAGGACGACGGTTATGGAGATGCATGGAGTAGACATATTATTGTTTTGTTAAGTTCAACAATGTTCCGTGCATGAACAGTAGCAGTGATGTAGTAGTTATTTAGTTTGATGTCGATTTGGTACTACTATATGTTTAGTTACCTTTGTTATTATTTAAGTGAACGTCTTATGTTTTATTTGTAATTTTCTGTAATTATTACATCAAGTTATTATGTATACTTTTTATAAGTCACAAAACCATACTAAAGAGTAATTTAAACGGTCCAACATGGAACCTGTAGTATAGGTAATGACTAATATGTAATGTAATAGCTTTATGTAAAGGTTTTACCTGTGAGGTACATTGTCTATGTTCACTAATGTGTTGTAACCAGTATGGAGTACACTATGTTCACATCTCCAAACCGTCGAATCAAAAGGATTAGCGAAGTGTCGGTCGATCAGTATTTTCAGTAATGTTTTATATCTTAGGAGTTCGGTTGCAATCGCAATTAGGAATTGATTTATGTGTTGGTCCTTCGTATCCATTTTTATCCTATTTGACATTACTTATTAATATAGGATATGCGTGTATCTGGAATTGATAATATCAAGATTACTCTTACAATCTGTCATGTTAGTTTTTAATGAAGTTTATCATGATATAAGTCTCTTAAAGTCACCTAAGAATTAGTTTCAATAAATTTAAGTGAATACATATCCTGCATTAATGAGAAATGTGTAACTAAATGTGTTGATCATGTCTTACTACACACGTCATAACACGTCTGCAATCGATGTCTCACACGGCATTGTACTAGCTGTCATACACTACTACATTGTATCATTCATATAGTTACTATGTGTGCTTATTATTTAGCTATATTTCTTGGCGCTATAGTCCTTAATATTGCTCACGTCAAGAAACGTTTGGCCGAGGTAGACATATTTTCTTTACATCACGTCTACCTCGGTACAAGCTTAATCTCATTAAAATTATGTACAAGATGTAACCACCAAATAATACGTTTTAGTAGTGTTAGTTAGATTAAAAGAATATATTGAACATTTTTATAATATAGGTACGCAATAGTTATTATTAATCTTCTCAAGGAATGTGACCATTTGGGCTGTGGTTGTCATCTGCATCACAAGTTTAGAACTTTAATTTATTATTAGATTTTATTTTATTTTATTATTTTGTTCATAAAGATGAAATTATTATTTTAGATGTGTCGGTGTACTTGCGTTGGTTGACTTGTTAAACTGTGTATTAGTTCAGTTATTTCGTAGTTTAACCTGAAAAGTTTTACGGGGTTTTAAGATTTCATTGCGGAGTTTTATATTGTTTTAATAAATAATATTAGTACCTATACAAAGTAGGTAAAAGGATATAGTGATATCGTTCATTATGTTATAGATGCCGTTTAGAATATGAGTGAAAAAATGAAATAAAATATAGACATAAGATATAAGATAGAAAATTAGATACAACAATACAATACGAAAATAAAAGTAGAGAAGATATGAAAAAGGCGCAACAAAAACTACACATTTTTTAATGTTCGTAAAACTTTTTGGCACCAGTTTTCTACGAAATATTGAACTAAATTACGTTTAGATAATATAATTTATTAAGAATGAAATGAAATGTGTATACTTAATGAATTACAACGTAAGTACACTGTTCGCAAGGTAAGTATGTAGAAAAATTTTATTTTGACTGAATCATAACATTTGCTGTGTAATTTTTTCGCTGGTGTTATTTTTTATTGAATGACTAATGGTGCATAAATAGATTAGGTATATATTTCTATTGTATTCACTGTGTCACATTGAACTTAGTTTTCAACAATATTTGACACATTGGTGACATTAATTTATACTCTATACTGATGAAATGGTTTTCTAAGGCACGCGTTACACGAAAAGCGGATAGACAAATAGCCATGGGTCATAATATCGAACTTTTCATATAAACCTTTTTGGTTTTGAGATCAGTACAGTTACAAACATCTGTGACTATCCTAAGGCCCGGCCACAAATTAATGTCCATTAAGTAATGGATAAAGCAATATTTTACAATCATAATTTTACTTTGACCATAATTTAAAGAACATCTTTGAGCAATCGGATATAAGTGCGCGATTCTAATGCACTTTTCGTGTAACGTTAGCTTAATTATGTTTTCTAATCACGTTTAAAATAACGATTATTTTTGTATATACTTTGGCACATTTCCCCTCGATGTGTACTCATATTATATTGGAAATTATTATTATAGAAGTTTAATTAGTGCTATATGAAATCATCTTAAAATATAAATATTATATTAAGTTATTTAACAAAAGATTACAGCAAACGCTGGTTGAGGGTGGAATATTACAGATGAAAACAGCTTTTAGTGTATGTGTACTTTTATTTAACAAAGTCAATGATGATCAATATATTCTGTTGTGTGCTATTTTTGGTAGAATTTGCCGTTTGGATCAGTGCAATACACAATATAGTTTAGCATCACATTCACATTTGTATATTTTAGTTTGTGACTTACTCGTAGATCATGTTTAATTGTTTGTCGTTTAGACCTGAATGCCTGCTTTCGCACATAATTTCTCATTTATACTCAACATAATCTACTTTACACGTTTTGTATGTATTTATTCTTGTTTTGTGGAGTAAAACAATATTTTTAGTATTTATTATTAAAATTAATAACACTTATCTACACTATGATAGTCAGTAGCAGATCAACAATTCGTATTCAGTAGATATCGGTATTATATTCCGAATTTAAAATTTTAATTCAATATTTAAATACAAATCAATATTTCCAGTAGTACTAGGTTATTTTGTACCTAGGATGAAGTTCAGTAAGATACAAGATAGATAAGGTACGGGGCACTACAATGACGAATGATGTTATTGATGAAGCTAACACGTCAATATGTGCCCCTCCTACCTTAAATCCTATCCTATATGTAGGATAATACAATTTTATCAATAATACATATTCAAATAGTAGCGTTCACGTATTAAATTCTACATTTCACACAGACAAATATTTGAAAATAGAAGTAATTTTAGTGTAGATAAAGTTAACAGTATGATAAATTATATCTAAAAGTACGCGTTTTGTTTCCATTGGCCAGTTTTAATCCTGAACCATCGTTGACTGTAAGTGCTAGTCAAAATATCGACATAGTGATGTAAATTTAGATAGGCTTACATTGTTTTGCTAACGTAGCTGTAATTGAGGTTAACAATCACGCAGTACTTGCTGTTTGCCGCGTAGACACTCCATTGCGGCTTGTCAGCTCCGCTCATGCGCGGTAAAGTTGCATCGGTACGATTGTGATGTAATTATGACCTACCCAAGGTAGGGTAACACGATCATCGTGTCTGATTTCTTCGCACTATTCATTCGTGCCGTACTCTGCGGCAGACTTAAGCAGGAACTTAGGATCTTGTCGGTAGAATTGGGTATTTGACTTCTAGTCAAAATAAATACGTTTTTGAACTGTCAATGTCGACAGTTGTCAATGAACTGTGTACGTGACGTCGTGATATTTTTGCGTCAAATAGCTTAATTATTTTTTGAAAGCTATCTAAAAATACAAATGGTTTAAGTAGGGTATATTGTAAAATTATGGAATGAAAGTAAAACGATTTTTAATATTTCGAGTCGAAATAAGTAATTTATGACTAAGTCAAATACTCAATTGGTTAGGCAAGCGTAAATGTTTAGGCTGTGGTAAGCGTTGACTTCGTCCAGGAAGGAATCTATTTTATAATAAAATATTTGCTGATGTGGTAAAAAAAATAAAAATGCTAGCCTGACGTATACAGCTTTCGAGGCTATAGCCAGGTTACGCTAAGCTTGATTGTTGGTCACCTGGCAGAAGAATGCGAATTTCACCTTGTTTACCTTTTGTGGGCGACGACTGCCTTTTCACTTCAGGGAAGCTAGACTCCGGTGAAACGATAGTACGAGTTTTTAGTTTTAAGTCCCATCTAACAAGTCTTTGACACATATGTGCATTCGTTTTAAGGTGGTCGCTAGTAGCGGTCATAGATGCAAAAGTTACCGCGTATGCATGGAACTTAACGTATAATATGACTGAAAATAATAATCTAGACATCTGATATTTATAATTGGTTGATATTTATTTGTATTTTGTACTTATTTTCGTTATTAAATTATATTTTCGTTTATACACTGTACTTGTAAACATGAACTCTGACACTTCACAAGTACACATATTTGTATAAACTTAGAAGTTCTCGTGATATGAGTATTGAAATGAAAGGATTCTATATACAATCATGAAATTGTATTAAATGTATCGGAGTAATGAAAGTGCTCTCATATCGATATTTATGTAAATTGTGTACTTACGTTTACATGGGAACTTCTGTGTTCATATGACCACTTGCAAATCGTATATTGGCTAATGTTGTATGTTATATGTGTTTAAAAAATAATTAATAATGGAATACGAACAAAGAGACGAGATAAATACGCCATGTCACGGTCACTACAAATTAAAACGCAGCGTTTAACATCTATTACGGACTCATTTCAATCACCTTGGGACTCAAGTATTAAAACAAATATTTGATGGCGCTGCGATACACTTGTATGTACCCCACAATTTAGCTCGTCTCATTTGGTCGGTAACATGCTGTTTCGATGAATTTCGTCTAAATCAATTTGCCTTATACAGAGTACCTATTTATACCAAATTAGCAATAATATTAATAAGTTTAAAATTTACCTAAAATTATATTTTAATTTTCTAAATTATTTTATGTATTTTTATACTGTTTTTTGGGAGGCAAAATATCAGTTTTTACATAATATATTTGAGTCATATTAAACGTAAAAATGTCATGTAATAATACTATATTGATTACTGATACTTTTTCTGTTTTAATTGCAATTAAAGATGCTGGAAAATATCCTCCATTGTTTTATTTTATTAGAGTCCTTTTGAAATTTAACAGATTGAATATAATACGTATCCCAATAGTGTTTATAGTGTAGGTTCCTATCCTCATTTGTAAACATTTGACACTTGCAGAGGTCACGTACATTAGGGAGTGCATAATTAATAACCTATTATTTCAATTGAAACATTTATCAAGATACGCACCAAAATATAAGTAAAGTGTTTGGTGAGTGAGTGTGACTAGTGAGGTCTTCAGTGGTGTGTGTGTGTACATGAAATATTACGTCGCGGCGACGAAGGCGTAGGTGGTCGCTGACGTCATAAGTTTGGCCGCTGACTCCGAATTAAAGGTAAGTTTGTCGTTGTTTTGAAATTACTTGTCCACTGAATAACAATCTTAAATAATTTAATAAAATAAAAGATCCAACTATTTCGTATTCTCTAATTCAGTACTCTTGTTGTGTCTTTTATCACTGTAAAATAAATGTTTTCAAACCTAATATAATTCGTCCCAACTCCACAGGATAAAAGTATAGGTCTATATAGATTCAATAATATAGGGTTCTCGACCCATTTAACCAGAACGGCCGTATTGCATCAATTAAATACAATTGTAAACACATCTACTAAGCTTTACTCAATAAAATGTTGGAGTTCAGTGGACAAATAATGTCAGTGTTTCACGTTTCAGTGCAGTCAAGAGCATTTTTTGTTAATTTTAAGAAATTTCTGACTTAAATAATTTTCAGTAAACTGACAGCGACTATCTCAAATTGCAATATAAATAACCATTAATAATATGATTTTATTTAAAAAAATACTAAAAGAGACGTCACTCTTTCACAAAAAAGAAGAGAAAAATGTGTGGGTTCGACCACTACATTGAATGAAGAAAAGGAATAAATATGATGTCTGAGAGTCCAAGAAAGCGATTACACATTTAAATAAAATATTCGTTTTAATATAAAATGTTCATTTCATTCCCGATTTGAGCTTTGAGTAAATCAGTTATCTAAATAACAATTTTGTAATCACTAGATATTAATTTGCCACAATGAAGTTGTCATTTTACTGAATTGTATTTAAGTGTTTTTCTTTTGAGGTAACATATTATATATTGATCTGGCTTATTAATAAAAATGCGGTTAACTGTACATGTAACCTTGTAGAATTGCAAAATCGATGCACCATATGCTACTGATACACATTTTGATGTCGTAGAAATATTAGCAGGTCAAAATTTATATATTTTAGCAATTTGAAATATAATTTCGTTTGAAATTGTGTTAATGAAAAAGGGCTGATGATGGTTCGCTAGCATTTATAAAGATGTAATCGATGACTTTCTTTACCCACGGCCTGATATTATACACATAAAATATAGAATGCTATGAATGTATTAACCACGGTATTAACATGGTGTGCCACATAATTAGGTAGTTTCCTAGGTCAAAAATAAATTATTTCGACGTTCCAATACAATAAAATATTGAAAAATAACTATACTTTTATTCATCCATCGATCGATACACTATTTTTTAGATTTTTTTAGCTTATTATTAAGAAATAAGTAAGCTATTTGACGCAAAAAAGTTATGACGCTCAGTTTTTTATACAAATTTCATAGAAAAGTATCGTTTTTGACGTTTGGATAAAAGTATTGAATTTGACTGGTTGGAAACTATCGTATTTAGTTAGTAGGTACTTCTACGAAGGTGGTTCAATAGGCGCATAAGTCTAATGGGATATTTTAGGCATTCACAAAGATTTTTTTGCTTGCACCCAATGAAGTTGTAGAACTCAATTACACTGACGACCAGTCATAAAGTGCCTCGTTGGTAAATTTCTCGTGACTTGATTTTCAAACAAAGGGCGTCTATCCTATTTCTAGCTCTGATTAAGTATTGTTAGGTCTTATTTTAATTTATGAAGTCCTCAACATTGACGGTGCTACTGTGACCACTATGTGAGACATGGATGTACAAGCTATAGTTATATAGGATAGGTACTATAATTAAGTAGTTACTTTGAACCCATATCATACAAACTTCATAGAAGGATAGATACAGTTTTGAATTTTCAATAAAAGTATCGAATTTGATCAGTTGAAGAGTACTGGATTATGTGTTTATTACAGTTATTCAATACTCTTAATGTTACTGTTGTTCTAAGTCCAAGAAAAGATTTGGGCAATATCTCGAGCCTTTCAGATTAAAAAAAAATGGAGAAAGCCAGTCAATAGTCGAATTTGCCCATCATAATTATGCCGACTAATGTAAACCCAAAAGACAAATTGAATTATTTTTTTTACTTTCTTTAATCCATTTTATTATAACACACTTTATAAATACAGTTTTAACTCGAAACCAAACAATAAAAGTATATCTTGTTCCAAAACAAGTAATTTATTACGAAACAAACTTGTTCCTGAAGTTCGTTAAAAAGTTTTAACCACGTGACGAGACCACGTGTAGTAGGAGGGTCTGCTAGAAGCAGGGGATGAGAGGCATTGGCGAATAGTGAGAGGGGTGGCGGAGTGGGGTGAGTTGTTGCCTAGAAACGGCGTTGTTTCTACCCCCCGATCAGCTGCGAGCCGACTACACCGCCATCTGGAGGCAACTAAGGGCGAGAGAGGACGCTAAATACCAGCTGACTGCAAATTTGTAAACAACAACATTGCTTGTGATTTCCTACATATTTCCCTTATAAACCCTTTTCTAACGTATCAAATTTTTATATTATTACATTTTAAGAAGTTTCAATAGCGTAACTAGAATATTTAAACCAGAAAAGCCTTAAGATACTGGCACGAAATTAAGTTTACGCATCACGCGGATAGATGGCGCTGTACGGTCGTGTTATGAAAATTCGTTTCACTGACGATGCGCGTTGTAGCTCGACTTAACATTCTTGGTGAGGACATGCGTACATTCTGTGAATCGTAGATTTTATTGAGGTCGATGTTTTTGTAACTATGTATACGATATTAAGAGAGAGAGATATGATGAGTTAAGTGGAGTCAATGAAAACCTACTTTTAAGAAAGAATACTTACGTAAATGTTCTGTAACGTATTCTCAATAGGTATTGTTGGTGTTTTGGACGGCTTATTTGCTCTATCTATTTAATAATATTATGTGTAGGTAAATTTCTTTTAGAATTTGCCAAATTTATCACATTTTTGCAAAATAGTCTTTGTTGCCAGGGATTTTTGTTGTTTTCAACCAAGCAATAAAACTCATAGTTAGATTATTAATTAGGTTCATTCATTTTTGCACTCCACACTTAGGAAATAATTCCACTAGTAGGAACGCAGGAACGCTCTTCGAAACTTATTTTATATCATCAAAGTTTCTAATAGGGCCGAAATATAACACCGTGTCTTATATTTTTTTAAGAAATATAATAAAAAATCATATAATTTTCATACCCTATCGTCAGCATTATTGCTAATGATGCCATTATTTATCCGACATGTTAAATCTAGGATTACCAAATTCCCATAAACCAATCAGCGGTTTGTTTGTTTGAATATGGCGTATATTTAAAGTTTAATACACAATTTGCAACGGTTGTGTTAAGGCTGGCTATA